CACTCAAAAAAAACGTGAGTTTATGAAGCATTTAAAATATATAACGACAACAAAGTTAATAAACTGAATGCAATAAATGAAGTGTGGTAATCATCTATATTGCTGATGTTATTTAATATCCTAATGGCTCTCTCCTCTTTATCTTGAAAACTTTCTCAAAACTACCTGAGGGCTCCTGACCACAAACGTGTACGTGATTATTGAATAACACGAAGTAAGTAAGCATTTTTAAAATGACTCGCGAAACACTTCCACTCAAGAGATGAAGAAGTTAAATGTTAGAACTAAGAATGACATACAACAAAGTAACGGTCGTTACAATATAGTAACTGGTAAAAAATGTTGGAAAAAACCATCAAGGAGATTAAAAAATAGCATTTTTTATTCCTTCAATCAAATCTATAACCAACAAATCCGAAATTTGGAGACCAAATTTGCAACATTAAAATTTTTCAAAAATTAATTTAAGCGCCCCAAAGCTCGGTATAAAAAGAAGAAGAACGTTGTTTTACCCCTTTCAACGACTTATCGCAGTACCGCGGTATATTCTTCTGTTACTATACTATTACTGCTTTTTTATCAATTGCATGATGGCGATCCTGGTGAATCATAGGCTGTTATAGAAATCTCTCCATCGGCCACGGTCCCTGGCTATACTTCTCATTTGTGGAATTGACATTTTATTCGTTTCTTTTTCTACTTTTCTCCTCCATATCATTTTGAGTCTTCCATGTGTCCTGATCCAAAGAGAGTTCCATTCTAGGACTCTATGACCAGGTTCATTTATGCAGGTCATCATTGTTACAGTGATTTATGCGAATTCCCTTTGTTTTATCTGCATTTATTTTTAAATTCACAATTGCAGCCACTTCTTTGAGGTCTCAGCTATAGCAGTTTATTTCTGCAGGAGTGTCATAAAGATTGGCAGGAAACAGAGGCGGCGCTACCGGGGGCTGCAAGGGGTGCACTGCACCCGGGCGCCGCCTAAAAGGGGGCGCCGGCGCCTTTTTAATGTTTTCTCCAACAATATCTTATCTTTCTTTTGCAGTACTTAGACCTGTCAGCAGTATCTAGTCTTCAGAAAGCAGTATTTAGTCTCCACAAAGCAATTTTAGTCTTTAGAAAGCAGTATTTAGTGTTCCAGATGCTGTATTTAGACCTGTCGGCAGTATCTAGTCTTCAGAAAGCAGTATTTAATCTTCCAGAGCAGTATCTAGTCTTCAGAAAGCAGTATTTAGTTTTTTAGAAGCAGTATCTAGTCTTCTGCCAACGTTATGTATGTTTTGTTCTTGATACTGACAGCTACTTCTTTCTGGGTGTCTATCATCTTTTTGGGAGCCTCTTATTATCTATACGGATCTTGTACCACCCGGTACCTCATTTCTGCAGCTGTTACTTTGCTTTTGTGCTTATCCTGCATTGGCAAAGTTTCCGTATTGGTGATTTCCTGTCCTGTGCAATAACAAGACAAGTCCATTGGTTTCTTGTTCATATTCTTCGCATTCTTTTATTGAACACATAAGTATTGCCATGAAAAATCATGTTTGGTTTATAATCAATTTTTTGTTTTCTCTGAACAGTAATTTCAGACTTCATGTGGACTTTGAACAATGTAATTCCTGTTTTTTGCTGAAGTCTAGTTTATAACTATTGCAATTTCAGACTTTTTCTTGCAAATTAACCTTCTGACCAGAGTATTCCCGACTATTCCCTTAAGTTTGGTTTTTCACCAGTATAATTCTTAAATTTTTGCTGAAGTATGGATTATGATTATTCCAGTCTTTTTTAAGTTTATTTATATTTCTTTGATTATATATATTTTTTTAATTAAAAGGCATTTTTTAACATTTTTAAATTAAAATAAATTGATAATGATTGTTAACCAAACAAATCATTCATACTTCAGAATCTTCTAAGATCATTTAATCATGATTTTTCTTCACACTACTCCACGAATGAGCTAGAGCATAAATAGTTTAAACAAAATTTCATGTTCAAACATTATCAAAATCCCATAAAGTCCAAGTCAAAAATCCAATTTCTAAAGGTTACTCGATCAGTTTTGAAATTCTTTATATGTATACTTGGATTCCTTATAAAAGCTAACCAGAGTTAGTTATGTAGTGTTACTGCATTAGCGCCGCATATAGTATAAGATCCTCAGTCAGCAGACCAGAGTTGTGAACAAATCCTTATTTGTTTAAAAATGTGGTGTCCTCCAATACTGAAGTGCCTCAGCCTTAAGCAGATGAAATTATACGTTCTCCATTTAAAGATAAGCCGATGCGCAGCTATATATGCTATGTATGTTGTATCATCTGTCTATTCAAGCAAAATCATAGATTCTTTATTCTAACTTAAGCCGAGGCGCTTCAAAATCTGTTGTTCAATACTGAAGCACTTCGGCCACAAGCGACGTCGGCTTAATTGGATGAAGATATACCTTTTCCGATTAAGGATACATCGAGGAAGTTTTGCAGCCGAAATATGTTATTAATTATTGCATCAATAGTATTAGTTGCTTGGACCACTATTTTCTATGGCAGCAACGAGTTGTTGTAGACATAGTGTTTCAATATAACTCCGCTTTGTATGTTCGCTTGTTTGGGTGGTATATCATGTTCAATGTTACCATAAGCTAATCTCTTATTCTATTTTGCATTTTAAGCCTCTGCACTTAGGCTGTGCATAAATTAAAGATTAGCTTGAAAGTTTTGGGCTTGAGTAGCATACTTAAATCCTGCTTCTTGCTGATTTGATTAACTACACACACTTAATTTAGTAAAGGTAATGAACATTTTTGCCAGCCATAATCGTTTAAAATGAACAAATAAGCTCGTGGTACTGTTTATCTCTACGTCGTAAATTATCTTATAAGGATTATTAGTAGTATTATTATTATAGGAGTATTTAATTTTCATGAAATATCGTTTAACGATTTGAGAAATGTCATTTCTACTTTTAAGAATACTTCCAGTAAAGATATTTATGGTTTAAATCCGAATATCATAAAAGTTATTCAAAACTTAATTATTATTCCCTTAGCTAAACTGATTAATCAATGTATTACTGTTCATATTTTCCCAGATTGCTTAAAAATAAGTAAAGTGGTGCCTGTTTTCAAAAGGGGGTCAATTAATGAGGTTTCAAATTACAGACCAATCTCAATTACACCTGTTTTGGGTAAAATTTTCGAAATAATTTTATATAACCAGTTAATTGCGTATCTTGAATCCAATAACTTCCTAACGAGTCACAGTTTGGTTTCAGGAAAAATAAATCAACTACGTCAGCAAATTGCAAATTAGTTTCATATGTTAATGAATGTTTTGAGAACAAACATTATGCACAGGCATCCTTTTACGATCTTACGAAAGCATTCGACTGCGTATCTCACAACCAATTGTTAATTAAATTACAAAATTTTGGATTTGATGCTGGTTCTGTTAAGGTAGTTAAAGCTTATTTATCAAATCGATTGCAACAAGTAATTTATAAAAATAGACTATTTTCAAAATTATCTATAAAGTATGGAGTACCTCAAGGGTCTGTGCTGGGCCCCATACCTTTTTTATTATTTATTAATGACTTGGCTGATAACGTTCCTGCGTCAAGTAACATTATATTATTTGCTGATGACACAACCACTGTGAATATAAGTGATAATTTGCCAGATCTTTTTAGTGAGGTGGTTGGATCTCGGGGTTGCATTTTTGACTGGTTTTCAGCTAATCAGCTTAGCGTAAATGAATCTAAGACTCAGCGGTTAATCTTCTCATTACGTGCACTAAATGATAATGTTGATAACCCTACAGTCAAATATCTAGGAGTTCATTTAGATCGTAAACTTACATGAGAAGAGCATGCAATACGAACTACTAGTAAATTAAACAAAATTATTTACTGTATCAGAAATTTAATTGATATCGTTCCAGTAAATACACTAATAACAGCATACAATGGATATTTTTATGCTCACTTATCATATGCCATTCTCGCTTGGGGTCATTCTGCACATGACATGCTGCTCGAGTGTTTAGCGCTCAGAGACGATGTATCCGAGTGATTTCGAATTTAAAATTCTCTGAGTGTTGTAGAACTAAATTTGTATAGTTAAAAATCTTAACTCTACCTTGTATTTATATATTTAACTGCCTCTTATACATTAAAAAAATATTCAGAATTTCAAAAGACACCATGATAACCTCGTAATTGATTATACTCGCACTGAAAGAGCTAGGGATGGCACTAATTATTATGGAATTAAATTTTTTAATTTCTTGCCTAATCCCATTAAACTACTTGATTTAATCAAAGATCAAAATTTAAATTTAAATCAAAGATCAAAAATTACTTGTTAGCGAGAGCATTCTACAGTGTGGATGAGTACTGTCTGAGCACTTTTGAGCCTTACTCGTCCGGATTTATGCCGTCGTTTATTGTGGATGTAGTTTTAAGATGTTCTTAATGTTGTTAGTTGACTAGCGGTAATGTTACATGTAGTTTTTATTATTTTTTTATGTATTAATTATACGCTTTTTTTTTTGACCTGCGCAAATACTGTTGTATGACGTCGCCAATAAAGATTCATTATTGTATTATTTATTATTATTATGTTAAAAGTTTAATAAGTTATGATTAGTACGCGCTAGTTTGGTCGAATAATGGTGAAATGAGAGCAAAATACAATTTAACATAATCTGAAGTTGGGGTATAATACGAATGGAATTACAAACTCCGAAATCCAATCTGTAACAGAAAATGTATACAAATTTCTATCTTGTAGTTTACTGTCTGTTACAAACTTGCTGGATAAGCACTTTAATGTACTTTATTGTTAGGTAAGCTTTATCTATTAGTTACTTTCTTAACAGATTTTACAACGTCGGTTTCAAACAACGACACGAATTTGTTCTGATAAAAACTTTATTGTAATTTACTCTCTTTCGGAATTTTAAAGTTTCTTAAATGCTTAATGAATAATTATTAACTTTTTTTTGCAGAAAATGGACTCTTAAGTTATGAGAATCCAAATTACCATCTCGATCCAACCCGCTTAGACGACGCTCTCAATTCCAATACTGACGAAATTTACGAAGAACTTTACCAAGAATTGGACGATATTTGTAACTTAGGGGGTAAACTCTCTGGAAATACCGGAAGAAAGAGTTACGCTTCTTTGGATATTAGCACAATGGGTGTGGACATCAATACAGGACCCGTTACTAATCTGGACCCGTCCAATTTTACAGATAATAGAAGGTAAATTTTTTAAAGGTTAACTCTAAATTTTAAAAGGACACAATTTTTTTTTTCCTGTGTTTTGTTTTTTTTGTTCACGGTTCTACGATCACGTTAAATGATTGTCCTTGTAACACATCTCGTCGTTTTCATCTAAAAACTCGTTGTATTCTATCAGGAGATCGATTTATTCAAATCCGGTTGCCAAAAATAGGTTTTCGTTTTTATTCTTTCTTTTCATATTTTCTTTTATAGTTTGAGGTAGAGTTGTGGATGTCGTGCGGGGGTTCTCGTAGAGAGGGGTTCTTGTATCGATTTTTTATTAAGGAGACGCCGAGTCTACACGCAACGAGTGCTCCTATTGCCGTACACAAAACGGGGTTGCAAAATAAAAAAATTACTTGTTTTCTGGGTTTCAACTCACAAATAAAACCATTATTTTTCGCGCGTGAAATGTTTTTGGAAACTTTTTACTTTGCAAAAGTAGTAAACCAAAATGATGAATATACTTCTTTTAAATTACGGTTTCAACATTTAACTTAAAAAAATATATGTAATCTAGAGCAAGCTAATGATATATTAACGACCTTTAAAGGTAAAAAGGGTTGTTAATGTCGAGTCTAAAATGTCATTGAACTTCCCCACTAAAGCTTCAAGGCATTTTATTCTTTAATAAATAACGATTTTTAAGCTCGTTTTGTATTAATGATATCGATACAAACAGCAATTTGTCTGTTTTTCTGTTATTGATTTGTTTTCTAAAAATAAAAATATCGAACTAGTTCAATAAAGAGACCATTTTTTAAAAAGTTTAAATTATTAAACAAGTTCAAAAACAAACATTTCTGTTGTAGGGGCAGTGGACACAATGGGAACCCTCTAAGCCCTTTGGATACAGTCTCCGCAAGTCCCCGAAAACAGTATGTAATTAAAATCAAAAATAGTTCCAAAAACCCCTTTAATACAAAAAAAGTTTTAATTTGCACTTTAAAGACTCTGAAGATGCGCGGCTAAATCCGAAACTAAAACTAGAGCTAACGCTAACACTGAAACTAATACTATACCTAGAACTAGAAACATTCGGGTTTAGCCATGCGTCTCTTAAGACGGGTAAACCCGAATGTTTCTAGTTCCAAGTCTAGTGTTGGTTCTAGTGATAGTGTTAGTATTAGATTACTAGAACCAACACTAGACCTGGTACTAGAACCATTCGAGTTTAGCCATGCGTCTGTAAGACGGCTAAACTGGAATGTTTCTAGTTCTAGTGATTTAATACTATTAATTTCGGTAGAACCAACGTTAGACGTGAAACTAGAATCATTCAGGTTTAGCCGTACGTCTCTCAAGACGGCTAAACCCCAATGTTTCTAGTTCTAGTCATCTAATACTATCAATTTCAGTAGAACCAACGTTAGACATGGAACTAGAATCATTCATGTTAAGCCGTACGTCTCTCAAGACGGCTAAACCCGAATGTTTCTAGGTCCAAGTCTAGGTCGGTTCTAGTGATAGTGTTAGTATTAGATCACTAGAACCAACATTAAACCTGGAACTAGAACTATTCGGGTTTAGCCATGCGTCTCTTAAGACGGCTAAACTCGAATGTTTCTAGTTCTAGTGATCTAATACTATCAATTTCAGTAAAACCAATGTTAGACCTGGAACTAGAATCATTCAGGTTTAGCCGTACGTCTCTTAAGACGGCTAAACCCGAATGTTTCTAGTTCTAGTGATCTAATACTAACAATTTCAGTAGAACCAACGTTAGACCTGGAACTAGAATCATTCTGGCTTAGCCGTACGTCTCTTAAGACGGCTAAACCCGAATGTTTCTAGTTACAAGTCTACTGTTGGTTCTAGTGATAGCGTTAGTATTAGATCACTAGAACCAACACTAGACCTAGCACTAGAAACATTCGGGTTTCACCATGCGTCTCTTAAGACGGCTAAACTCGAATGTTTCTAGTTCTAGTGATCTAATACTATCAATTTCAGTAAAACCAATGTTAGACCGGGAACTAGAATCATTCTGGTTTAGCCGTACGTCTCTTAAGACGGCTAAACCCGAATGTTTCTAGTTCTAGTGATCTAATTCTACCAATTTCAGTAGAACCAACGTTAGACCTGGAACTAGAATCATTCAGGTTTAGCCGTACGTCTCTTAAGACAGCTAAACCCGAATGTTTCTAGTTCTAGTGATCTAATACTAACAATTTCAGTAGAACCAACGTTAGACCTGGAATTAGAATCATTCAGGTTTAGCCATACGTCTCTTAAGACGGCTAAACCCGAATGTTTCTAGTTCCAAGTCTGGTGTTGGTTCTAGTGATAGTGTTAGTATTAAATCACTAGAATCAACACTAAACCTGGATCTAGAACCATTTCGGTTTAGCCATGCGTCTCTTAAGACGACTAAACTCGAATGTTTCTAGTTCTAGTAATCTAATACTATCAATTTCAGTAGAACCAATGTTAGACCTGGAACTAGAATCATTCAGGTTTAGCTGTACGTTTCTCAAGACGGCTAAACCCGAATGTTTCTAGTTCCAAGTCTAGTGTCGGTTCTAATCATAGTGTTAGTATTAGATCACTAGAACCAACACTAGACCTGGAACAAGAACCATTCGGGTTTAGCCATTCGTCTCTTAAGACGGTTAAACTCGAATGTTTCTAGTTCTAGTGATCTAATACTATCAATTTCAGTAGAACCAATGTTAGACCTGGAACTAGAATCATTCAGGTTTAGCCGTACGTCTCTTAAGACGGCTAAACCCGAATGTTTCTAGTTCTAGTGATCAAATACTAACAATTTCAGTAGAACCAACGTTAGACCTGGAGCTAGAATCATTCAGGTTTAGCCGAACGTCTCTCAAGACGGCTAAACCCGAATGTTTCTAGTTCCAAGTCTAGTGTCGGTTCTAGTGATAGTGTTAGTATTAGATCACTAGAAACAACACTAGACCTGGAACTAGAACTATTCGGGTTTAGCCATGCGTCTCTTAACACGGCTAAACTCGAATGTTTCTAGTTCTAGTGATCTAATACTATTAATTTCAGTAGAATCAATGTTAGACCTGGAACTAGAATCATTCCGGTTTAGCCGTACGTCTCTCAAGACGGCCAAACCCGAATGTTTTTAGTTCCAAGTCTAGTGTCGACTCTAATGATAGTGTTAGTATTAGATCACTAGACCTGGAATTAGAACCATTCGGGTTTAGCCATGCGTCTCTTAAGACGGCTAAACTCGAATGGTTCTAGTTTTAGTGATCTAATACTATCAGTATCAGTAGAACCAATGTTAGACCTACAACTAGAATCATTCAGGTTTAGCCATGCGTCTCTTAAGATGGCTAAACTCGAATGTTTCTAGTTCTAGTGATCTAATACTATCAATTTCAGTAGAATCAACGTTAGACCTAGAACTAGAATCATTCAGGCTTAGCCGTACGTCTCTTAAGACGGCTAAACCCGAATGTTTCTAGTTCCAAGTCTAGTGTTGGTTCTAGTGATAGTGTTAGTATTAGATCACTAGAACCAACACTAGACCTAGCACTAGAAACATTCGGGTTTAGCCATGCGTCTCTTAAGACGGCTAAACCCTAAGTCTAGTGTTAATTCTACTTTTAGTTCAATAAAAATATAAAACAATCTATCGCTGAATAACAATTAAAACTAGAACTTACATTAGACCTAGAACTAGAATGTTTCTAGTTCTATGTCTGGTGCTAGTTCTAGTTTTAGTTTAATGAAAAATATACAACAATCTAACGCTAAATAACAACTAATACCGTTATATTGACATTTTATTGTAATAATATTACTTAATAAAAATAATGAACAACAATAATTTTGTTGTTCCAGTTTATGTGAAAATGATGAAAAGGACAATCGCGACGATGATTCAAACGTCCCTCATATCGTCGGCCAATTAAATAATGATTTATATGCAATCCCAGTTAAAAGAAGACAACAACAAAAATCGTTCGATGAAATAGATACTTTGTCCTCGTCCGATAAGGAACGTTGCGACGATTCGGATTTACCCCAAGGTTGGGAAAAGCATGAGGACAACGACGGACCATATTATTGGCATATTAAAAGTGGTACGATTCAACGAGAAGTACCCACAATGCCCTGTACTGAAAAATCGGATAAATCCGAAATTAATAATTACAAAGAAACCGATAGTTTGCTATCGAAATACGAATCGAGCATTATAAATACTGTTACTAGGAGTAATACAAGTTCTGCTTTGGATTTGGATTATTTGGAGGAAAGGAAAAAGAAGGATGAATTAGCTTTGAAACGGCGAAGTTACCCGGCTAGATCAGAACCGGAATCTAAAGATTGTTGTCCGGTGCGATTCGCAGTGAGATCTTTAGGTTGGGTTGAAATTGCTGAAGATGATTTGACGCCGGAACGAAGTAGCAAAGCAGTCAATAAATGTATCGTTGATCTTTCATTGGGTAGAAATGATCTTTTGGATGTTGTTGGAAGATGGGGAGATGTAAGAAGTTATTGAAATTACTTTTTTACTTGATTCTAATTTTTTTATTAAAGGGAAAAGATTTATTCATGGATTTAGATGAAGGTGCTTTAAAATTAATCGATCCGGAAAATTTAACCGTGTTAAACACTCAACCTATTCATACTATAAGAGTTTGGGGAGTTGGGAGAGATAATGGAAGGTAAGTTCTTCTTTTTATTAAATTATTGATTTATTCAAAAAAATAAAATTAATGGTTTAAAATAACTTAATAATTTTTTTAATTTTTTAATAAACCTTGTGGATCTTCAGAGAAAGGTAACTTTTATTCTACAAGAGCAGCATGGTTTTACCTTCTAACAGCATGTTAATCCACAAAAGAAAAAGAATCCTTTTGCATGATTCATTATTGAATGTTTAAAAAATATGATTGTGATAAAACAAATTGCAAACATTTTTATACAGGTGATCCAAAATTACAGATGCAGTTGTATTCTCTTTATATAAATTACGATTTCTAGTCATTTCTTGACTTGTCTTAGCTATTTTTTAAACGAATATTAAGTTAAAATTTGGTAGAAGAATCAGATGACACCTTCACGATATAATATCGCCACCTTAATTTTGAAATCTCGTAAATCAATCGTTTTAAAAGATTGATTGGTTGTGCCTAAAATTGATAAAATTGATTCCTAAACATTTTAGGACAAAATATACTATCTGGAATACAAATTGTAGATGTTACAAAAAACTAAAGCAATAATAATGAGATAAAACTCATATAGAGTAAAATTAAAGGTGTTAACAAATAAACACTTGAAAATGTAAATGATTCAGAAATATAAATTGCTCCCAAAATCTTTAAATAAGATATGATAATGGAAAGTTTAAATGTTTTATCTACATTAAAATCGCCTTAATGTCGATCATACAATATAATAAAATGATGTATACAAAATTACTGATAAAGAATGAGCTTTATAACATATTATTGATCATTTTAGATAGATTACAAATCTATCTTGGTCAGTGAAGGTCAAAAGGCTAATTAGTCAGAAGATTTACATCACCTGATAAAGCCAAGGCCACAAAAAGAGTCACAAAATGGTGACTGGTTTCTTATTAATCATTGAGTCTCGGCCAAACACGACCTTGTCTTAAATAGTCAATAGATCTACTTACAATTTCATTTGATAAAGCCGAGACCGTTTGCGGCGAAGGCGCCACAATATGATGACGAGTTTTAGGTTAATATAATCTTAATGACCGCAAGCGACCTCGGCTTAATTATTCAAAAAATCTACAATTTCTTCTTATAAAGCTGAGGCCACTCGTGGCAGAAGCGTTACAATATGATGACCAGTTTTAGGTTTTAATCACAGAGCCTCGAACGTAAGCAACCTCGGCTTAATTAGTCAAAACTTCTACAACTTCATCTGATGTGTATTTTTGAGAAGCAGTTATATTGAGTTCGCCTATTTTGCTTCTAGGAATTACTATCGCACTCCTTCTGCGCAATTGATTGGTTAAGATCTAGCTATACTTTATATTAATATTCCGTTGTAAACAGCACAGTTGTTTACCCCACTTGATGTAAAAAACTTGTATTATTTTGGCAAGTACTATATTCTGGTATAGTTTCTCGATTTTGTGTTTTATGAGTATTGAAAGTAAAACACTATGGCAACCAACTAGACACTCTGAGAGCTTTCCAGGCTTCCTGTTTTTTTATGAGTTAAAATTGATCAAATCCATGTTACCAGTGAAGAAAATGGTCAAAAATGAAAGACAGTTTCAATGTACTTTAACTGGTTGTAAATTTTTTTATTTTTCGTCTGACTAGTTTCGCCTTATAGGCGAAATCTTCAGAGATTTCGTTAAAAATGTGAAGTTACATCCATCATAGTTCATCATACAATGAAAATGATTCATTTTTAACAACGACGTAGTTCAACCATTTTTATTAACTGTAATTAAGAAATGTTCTACATCATAATTTGTCAATCCTACAATTATTTTTTGATAAGATGGATGTAACTTCACATTTTTAACGAAGTCGCTGAAGATGCCTACAAGGCGAAATTAGTCAGACGAAAAATAAAAATTTTACAACCAGTTAAAGTACATTGAATCTGCCTTTCATTTTTAACCATTTCCTGTTTTTTGACTAGTTTCTCTAAAGTTTGCACGGCCTTTACTATATCCCTTTTCTCGCTCCAGTCTGTTTCTTTATATTTCAGGCGCTTTTTTGCTTTGGAAAGTTGGGATTCAATTTGCATCGTTGAAATGTGTGAAATCAAAAATGGTGAAAATCAACGGTGTTAAACAGTTTATTCAAACTAACTTTTCAGTGCTACAGCTGTTTCGGCAACTACTTGCCTTCCTCAGGCACGACGTCAACGAGGTTAAGTACTAAAGACAAAATTTTCTGGAAGCATGTTACACCAAACGTATTCGGGAGAAGAAGTTTTAATTAAAAAAGGTGAAGGTCTGAAGGACATGTTGCGTAACAACTTTTTTCTTAGGCTTGAGGAGCACGCTGTTAGAAAAAAGTGAGGTTAAGCGAACTATTTAACACGTTAAAAACTGATCAAAAACAATGTCGTAATAGACTCAAAAATTATTGTAAACAAAAAGAACAAAAATTTGCAAAAAGTTGTGTTTAGGCGTGAAGCGCACTAACGAATGTTTTTTGCTTGCCGTTTCTATCCCTTTCTTGTGTTACCAAGCTCCATCTTGTATTTAGAATCTCTGTTCAATCTCTTTTTTTGGATTGCCCATCTCTTTGTAGACTTCCTGATCTCTATCTAATCTGTTTCTAGACGTTATTTCTACACTCTTCTATGGCAAATCAATTTTTTTTCTTCCTCGTAGTTGATTTTTCCAATCTATCAGTCTATTTTCAGTTTTCTTTTTCTCAGTCTAATCTCTATTTATTTTTCCAGTCCTTCTTCAGTCTCTTTCTTCTTTCCTCTCTGTTTTCGTTGATAAGTCTTTTTTTTGTTTTTCTTGTCAGTGTTCAGTCTCTTTCTTCAATTATCAGTCTGTTTCCAATACTCTTCTTTTTTGTTTAGGTACTTTTTTTTTCTTTCTCTTTGTTCTTCTCTTTTTCTATCTTTTATTTTTTAACTTTAATCTTTTCTCTATTTTGCCTGTACGATCTAATTTTAGTCTCCCTTTTCTTTGAACAATCTTTCTTTTCCAGTTTTCTTGTTCTCTGTCTTATTTGTTCTTGTCACTGACTGGAAAGAGAGCTCGAGACTGGAAAGATGCTATTCCAGTCTCCTCTTTTTTACCTACTTTCTTTCATCTGTTCTTCGTTATTATTAATATCTCCATCATGTATCCACGCTTTTTGGAAGGTCAGAAATTTCCAGAAAAATGTTTCCGGTTTCTGCTTGTTCCTGGTTTATAGTACAATTTGATGATAACTCTACTGAAAGATAATACAGAAAATACAACGCTACTATCTTTTATACGAAACAATCCAATTGGCAGAGGTTTCCACTTTTAAAAAGCGTAGTTTATTTAATCAACAAATGGCTGTGTTAACCTCTTAATTGTGCGACTGACGGTAGCGCTGAAATGACTAGTAGTACGACTCAATGTCTGCTTTTTGCTCTGTTAGATTTACTCTTTTGTGTTTTTTTCTTTGTTAACTGTACGAATTTCTAGGTTTAATTTTCAGGTTAAGTTGAGCTATACTTAGGCACTGATCTTCGCCTTTTCTTACTTACATCATTATTTTTCCTTAATTTATTTATTAGAATTGTTAACTTGTTGCCTTATGAGTATGAATAAAGTCATCCTAGGCTGGAGATAGTCCATGCATTTATCTTTCCAGTATCTGCTTAATGTCTTGCTTCTATTACTACTCTTCTCGTCCGTAGTCTAGCCCCTTTCTTGCCTTTACTTACAGTTTCTTCTTTTCTGTCCAGTTTCTTCTTTTCTGTCCAGTTTCTTTTTTCTTTTTGCCGTTTCCTTTTCATGTCTTTCCAATCTCCTTCCTCTCCCGTAGTTTCCAGGACAAAATTAATAATAATATTTTTACCTGGCGGAGAACTCTCCATTCATGGAGAGAAATAATACTACAATTACCACAGAATTTATTACCTAATTTAACATGGACGGACTAGTCTCAACTAGTCAAAAACGTTTGTTGTAACACAGCTAATAATAATTTTATGTCAAAATATAACCTGCTAGGAAAATAGAACAATCTTTTCCACAATAGTAAAGTAAAAAAGTTCTTTAATTCTCTCCAATATGCATGAAATGATTAACGAATTTTTAAAATTAGGTTGGCGATATTTGATAATAAGTATCATTAGAAATAGAGCTTATGTAGTAATATAAACGGCATGCGTTTTACGAGTTAACCATTATTATTTTTACATGAAATAAATTCAATATCATTTTTCAACACAACCCTAGAAATTCAAAATTAATCGTTTTTCTCATTTATTATTACTATTCGTGAACATTTCTGAAGAATTGTTCAAGTCAATTCGATACAAGAGTTCCCACTGAAATCTTTAGAACCACAAGCAATATCATTAATTATTCAAGAGGAATTCTATGAAACTTTGGTAAAGATTCGGAATTCGATAAAAATTCTATGCTTTACGAACTTCCGTGAAAGTTTTCGAATTGTTAACCAATAATTATATCTGTAACTCAGGATCACCTGTATTATAACTTATTATCACAAATTTCCTTTTCAATCGAATTTATTTTATAGAGATTTTGCTTACGTGGCAAGAGATAGAAGCACTAGAAAACATATGTGTCACGTTTTTCGTTGTGACATGCCCGCAAGAACAATAGCAAACACATTGAGAGATATTTGCAAAAAGATTATGATAGAACGCAGCTTGCAACAAAATCTAGCAAAACCTTTGGATTTAAATGGAAAAGGTTTAGCAACCAGGCCGACTAATTTACCAACTGAACATAGAAGAGCTAACAGAAATAGTCAAGCTTTAGTTAGTAAGTAAACTTTAAAAAACAATTCTATTGTATGGAATATTTCAAAAATACTTTGAACTAATGGTAAATATTTTTTGTTTTTAGAATGTTTTCAAAGAATTTTTGAAATATCTAAATAAGAGCTAATTTTATATTGATTCAATAATTAGTAGTATTCGGACTATTATTTTGGTACGTTGGTGGCTTCGCGTTTTCGCCGTCCTATGTTAAACGACTTTTGGCACACATCCTCTTTATTAATAACATTATTCCATTAGCATCACTTAGCCACCATTACGCAACTATTCATTATATAACACATAACAGGATGACTACAACGTTATGTTTAGAGAAAGACTCGTTATACTCAGACTCAGAAACAACTCAAACTTGTGCTTGAACATATCTTAAATTATATGATGTTTGCCATCCTTGCATTTATTAATCCTTTCATCATATAATATTTTCCTTGACTAACATGATAACTGCACAAAATAGTCAAGATTCTCATCGTCTTTGAATTAAACCTAACGTGACTCACTCTGTCCCTCAATCTAGTCGTTTGCATACATGCAAATAGCAGATATGGGCAATGATCATAAATAAAATATGCTTTTCATAATTAATATTAAACAAGTATATTGGCAACAGTTATCAAGAGAAATTTGTCTTTCATAATATCTATCAATGTAGTAGAAGACAACCAATTATTAGTAATATTTCTACTGCTTCTACGCATGTAATAAGTATGTAATGGGTATTGATGTGTAAATTTAAATGGCAAGTTTTTTCATCCGTATTGAATAACGATGGATATTTAAAGACCGATCCTATGGATTATAAAAGAGGAGTAAATTGTAATGGACTATATCAAATGCTTTACTAAAGTCACGAGTACAAGAACCATTATCTACGTCCTTGACCAGAACAATCCTATAACATTTAAGGAATTCGTACTCATAACGATCAAAAAGTTAGTTATCCATGATAGATTCTACGAGTTAAAGAGGATCCGTAAAAAAGACCTCCCGTATTTCAAAACAGTCCGGAGATTGTTTATAGTTCTCCATGTCATTTCCGGTGGAAAGGCAGTCACTTCCTAGGTGATTACCTTGTTAATTACTTATTGGGTTGTGGGGCGATTTTAATACATACGATATATTGTGATAAATCGGGTGAGTTCTCTGGATCTCCTCGCAAAGTCTAAGCTGTGACACTAGAGTATACTAACACCAGAGTGGAATCAGACTGCTTTTTCTTCCTGGTCCAGTAAGCGTTAACTAAAGTTAACTCATCTTCACAAAAATACAGACTCCACACATCAAATTCTTACACTGCAGATTCTTCTTACACCACTACCAGGCAATTCCGGAACAGATCCATGTTGAAGTGCTGAACATTTAAACATTGCTGGAAGACGCTTTCAGTTATGCCACATTTTCCGATGTTGTTACGGCCCGAGGTCGACCAAGTGACGTTTTTTTCAGAGCAGAAGCTGTAGCTTTAAAGTTTGATACCCAATCTCAAATAGCTTTTTTATCCAGAACAGAATCATGTCGGCAAAATGCGAACCATAACAAACACACGATACTATTAATTGATACCTCCACCGTCCCTGTATGCTCACCATAATTAACACAGCACCCTCACCACATACAGAATCATCAAAAGAACGCAACATTACCTTTATGATTTCGAATTTTAACTAGATAGCATCGCTTAGTCTGATTAAGCGCCCTAATACAGTTGTAGTATCAGCGTTAAGCGCAAAGTATTAGTGGGTGGATGACAGCTCTACTTGTTTTGGACTCTAAGACTATCTATCGTTGCGATAGCTTCTTCTGCGTTCTCATTGCCTCTTACACACGGAAGATTGTTTCTACTCTTTAGTTCCATATAGACCCTATACAGGGTGTTCCGGTGACTCGGGGCATAAAATTAACCTCATATACTAGAGCAAAAATGATGACGATTCCTGAAAAAAAATTATTATAAAAGTCTTCAAATGGCCAAAATATGGGCCATCAAAGTTCAGAAATTTTAACACATTTTTCTAAATATTTTCAATACCATTTATGATAGAGCGTTGAAATTTGGTACAGGGTAAACAAATATCAAGCAAAATCATTGAACCAATTTTGACTTTGATCGGGCGGCGGCAACCATGCTATACAGGCTGTCCCTAAAATTTGTTTGCTCAGAACTTTTTTGTTCGCTCGTAACCCTACATTTATTTTTGTACTTTTTAATAGAAAATTTATTTTAGAAACTATTATCACTCTTTGAAAATTTTGATAACATTTACCGTTTTCGAGTTATACGCGAAAATGTTAAGCTTTGATTTCAATCGTAACAAACAAAAAAAGGAAACATATTCCGCAAGATCTGAGTTGGCGATGACAATTCAAAAACGAACTGAGCTAATAACCATTATTTGCATACATTTCTAAGTGCAGACTTAGTTAAATCCAGTGTTAATTTATTTTAGTTGAATAAAAGAATGTAATTTCCAAAACAATAAATTTAATTTTCACGGTTACAACAAACAAGAAAATAACAAAAATATTAACAAGAACAATAAAATTATAAACAAATAGTAATAAATAAAAAAGAACAAAAAAATACTAAAGCAGATGTTCAAAAACACTCCCGCCGGCATCAATGCACGCCTGATATCGCCGTCTTAAATTAAAGCGCACTCTGCGGAGAACATCGATCTCAGTTCGAAGTTGATCAAATGAATCAACAATTCGCAACCTCAGTTGATCAACTCGTTTTCGATCAACTGATTTAAACGCAGTAAATTAGCAATTTAACGCGTCCCCATAAATAAAAATCTACAGGTGTAAGATCCGGCGATCGGGGGGCCAACTTATCGGTGCACCTACTCCTAGTCCAATCCACCGTCCCGGAAAACGTTCCCTCAGAAATTCTTGGACAGCTTGTGTGCTATGCGCAGGAGCACCATTATGCATATACCACATTGCTTGCCTTGTGTTTAAAGGACCGTCATCTAAAAAATCATCTAATTCTTCTAAATGTCGCCTGTATGTATGTCCATCCAGCCTTGATGGCAAGAAAACGGGTCCAATAATTACATCGCCCATAATGCCAGCCCAAACGTTAAGAGAAAATCTCCATTGTGATTTCCAAGTTTTCTTAAATCTTGGATTTTCGTCCGCCCAACTATGTAAATTTCTCAAATTGAAGATTCCATCTTTAGAAAAAGTGGATTCATCTGTAAAAAGCACTTTTTCTTAAAACTGATCATCAATTTGGATTTTGTGCTGCATTATTTGGCAATATTGCAGTCGCAGTGGGTAATCAGCCAGTCGAACTTCCTGAACTTTGTAACAATGAAATGGATAAAGCTGTTGCTCGTGAAGAACACTCCAGACAGTTGTTTTTGAAGTTAAAAAGTGCCTCGCCATATCCAAAGTACTAGCTGTAGTATTTTCTTCTACGTAGTCTAGAATATCTTCTTCTAGTTCGGGTGTTCGGACTGATCTTACGTTACTGTTGTTAGTAAATTTCGGCTTAAACGTCCCATTTTCCCTTAAACGGGTTTCAATCCTTAAAAATGTTTTTCGATTGGGCGCTCTGCGATTCGGAAATTTCTCCCGATAACGCTTAGCGGCTGCTACGGCGTTTCCATGACATTCCCCTAATGTCAAAATCATGTCAGTTTGTTCACTAAATGTGTAACTCTCCATTTTGAACACTTAAAATTAATAAAAACTTAACTAACAAAAAACTATCATTTGTGTTTAAACGACATAAGCAAGTTGACAGCTCAATTTGTTTTTTTAATTGCCATGGCCAACCTTGACTTTTTCGAAGATCTTAACATTTTCGAGTATAACTCGAAAACGGTAAATGTTATCAAAATTTTCAAAGAGTGATAAAAGTTTCTAAAATAAGTTTTCTATTAAAAAGTACAAAAATAAATGTAGGGTTACGAGCGAACAAAAAAGTTCTGAGCAAACAAATTTTAGGGACAGCCTGTATAGCATGGTTGCCGCCGCCCGATGAAAGTCAAAATTGGTTCAATGATTTTGCTTGATATTTGTTTACCCTCTACCAAATTTCAACGCTCTACGATAAATGGTATTGAAAATATTTAGAAAAATGTGTTAAAATTTCTGAACTTTGATGGCCCATATCTTGGCCATTTGAAGACTTTTATAATAATATTTTTTCACGAATCGTCATCATTTTTGCTCTACTATATGAGGTTAATTTTATGCCCCGAGTCACCGGAACACCTGTATACAGGTAAAAAATTAACCGTCAGTGCAATACTCTCTTGCTCTGGTTCGCCTAGTGAACACTGAAGGTTCGTTTTCCTGCTTTCGATTTTCATATTGCAGTCAGGAACAGGAGCACATGGTGTGGTCATTTGGCCAACCCAACCCAACCCAACCATAAATAGTCGTTACCGGTCCTCTTCGTCGCACTACAGTGTTGGTCTTGATTCTTATCTCCTCTTCCTATTCTTTTTCTTCTTTCGGTTCCATATCCGGTCCTCCCAACGTTGATAATCACATCGGCGACCTGAACGCAACTTTCGACTAATCTAAATAGTGATTCGGCTATGCCGGTTCAATCGCGAATGTTTCTTAGTCATGATATTTGCTTCCTTCCAATTTATCTGCGGCCGTCAATTTTACCTTTCATTGTAAGCTGAAGGATTTTCTATCTGTCTCCTCTAAGAATATGCCCTAGGTATGAACGGCGTTTGCTCTATTTAATACTGCTTCGTTGGTCTGGATGACTGTCCAGTGTATTCTGAGTATTCTTCTATGCAACCACAACTCGATGGCTTCTAAACGATTGATCTTGGCAGCAGAGTCCAGATCTTACCTCCATATAACAACACCGACCAGACATAACCTTTGATTATTCTTTGACGAAATTTCAGGCTTAAGTTATAGATGAATGATTTTATTCTCAAAAAAATCAACATTTAATCTCATTATTTGAATCTAGTTGTTCCGTGATATAACATCCAAGATATCTGAAGTGGGCAACTCTCTCAATGTTTTGTTGGTCTATACCAATACACAATTTCATTTATACCTTACGGTGTTGGGTTTTGGATCCTTCTTTTATACATCTTCTTATCTCTGGCCATAGTCTGGACTTCGGCGATCTCTTCCCTCTTCTTTCAACCATCTTCTCAATCTCTCCCTCCCATTGGCCTCTTGGTCTACCACGCTTTCTCTTTCCTTCTGGCCTCATGTTCAACATTTTCTTAGGTATTCTATCTTCTTTCATTCGAATCAGATGACCATACCAACTTAGTTGTTTTCCTCTATTTCCTGTACCAGGGGGTTTAAGCTTAGTTCTTCCCTGATGTTCTTGTTCCGTATCCTATCTCTTCTAGTTTTACCCAGTATCTTGCGTAGGTACTTCATCCCTGCTGCTTTTATTTTTTAATTCGTGCTTGTCCAACATCGTCCAAGTTTCTGATCCATAGTTAAGTGTGGGTATATAGATGATTTGTTCAGTTCTTTCTTGCCTACGAGGGCGTTGTTTATTTGACAGTAGATCATTCCATCCTTACCTCCAGTCGTTGCCCCTCTATTCTTACGTCAATAACTCCAGTTTCTTCTTCTTTTATGATGTGTAGGATCTTACTTTTGTTCTTGTTTATTACCATTCTCCTTTCTTGTAGGGAGATATTCCTTTGTAGGACATACTTTGCCTGACATTAGTACAACATTGTCCGCGTATATAATGTCTCGAGTGTAGATCGAGGTTAGGTTGTGGTACCTCAGTCTCGTCTGCGTAGTTTGTCTTTTGAGTTGCTCTATTATTCTATCCATGTATGCTACAAAGAGTAGTGGGCTCAAACTGTGACTGACCCTGTTTCACTCCTTTTTCCATTCTGAACTCTTCTGACATCTTTCGATTCAGTCTAATCCTTCCCATTGCGTTATGGTATACGCTTTTGATAGCTCTTTTTAGTTTTGGACTTGTCCCCAGTTCGCTTAAAGCTTCATATATGCTGTCTCGCTACCTGGTCAGAAGCTGCTTTTCGGACAAAGGACAAATATGTATCCTTGGTCGGAACGCCGTTTGTTCCTCTTCGAGTTTTTCTTCTATCTGGATTCTTAGCCGTTTTTCCCAAATTTTTGAGTAGAGTTTGAGTGCAACCGGCGCCATACAAATTGCTTTGTAGTTTTCGCAGCTGGTTGGTCCCCTCCTTATGGATTGACACAATTATATTCTGTATTGAGAAGCTTTATATGGAATCGCCATAAAATTAGCTCTAAATAATTTTTTTTAAATATGTAATATTTAAAAAATAATATTTTAGCCCAATCATTTCCAACACCAATGGAAGAACCTAAAAAAGTCCTCAGAGCTCAATATTTAGGAGCCGTTCAAGTAACCCAAGCAAGTGGTATGGACGTTTTAAATGAAGCAATAGAAAGATTAGTAACCACAATTCCTCAAGATCAATGGCAATCTGTTAATGTTGCCGTTGCTCCTTCTATGATAACAATTCAACAACCTTCGGTATTTATAAGAAATTAGTGTTAAATTTGATTATAAATTTCAAATATTTTAGGATGATAAATTAATAGCTGAATGTCGCGTGCGCTATTTATCATTTTTGGGTATTGGAAAAAACGTTAAACAGTGCGCTTTCGTTATGCACACGGCCCAAGATACTTTTATGGCGCACGTTTTTCATTGCGAACCGTCCTCGGGAGCTCTTTGTAAGACAATTGAAGCAGCTTGTAAGGTAATAATTATATTGTAAGGTGTAATTATTAAAGAATATACTTTATATTATTTTTTTTTTGTATAGTTAAGATATCAAAAATGTCTTGATGCTCATCCTCAAGGAATCGGCAGAAGCCAATCAACGCTTGTTACGCCAGGAAAAAGCTTTGGGGCCGCTCTTAAATCGATAGTTGGATCTTTAACGGGTCGTAAGTGTAAAAGTACCGAATCCTGAGACGATGCTGGTCAAACTCTGCAGGTAAGGATAAAAAATTGGATGAGGAAATAAAATTGGGGTTGAAAAAATTTTTAAAGGAAATGTGGCGTATAACTGCAGAGAGGGACGTAATAAAACACAGACACCTCCAATCGCCTTTAACGGTGAAATTCTTCAGTACTAGTCTATCCTCCGCCAACTTAAGGTCATTATTATCTCCGACGTTGGACGCTAGAAAAATTCTATTAGCACGTTGGGATTCAAACAATTATTAACAAAAAAGTAAAGCTTACAAAGCAATGTTAAAAAAACTATGCCGAGTCCTAAATAAATTAACTATAAAATTATCAAAGTTACCGATATCGAGTTCGATAAAAATAAATTCAATGCTGAAAGCGTCTTTGAATCAAAAAAAAAAATGAAGAAGAAAAAATCGTATATAAAGATAACCGATGCGCAAGTGTAGTTAAAAAATGAATAATTAATTATAAAGTACAACTTAGTATGTGTGCTTTTTTCGAGCCTTAATCAGTTCATCTCTATGGTGTTTTTGACAAAAAAATCATTAAGTATAAATAAATAATTAAATTAATTGAAAAATAAATGGTGGTTTTTGCTAATGATGTAAATACCTCACAAAAAACGTTTTCTCAAGACTGCTTTTACAAAAATTTTAAAAAATACATACGAGAATAGACGCTTATTAAAATGAAAAAAATTATAAAAAAAAAATCTTGTGCACATTACGTACAGAGTATCGAGGCTGTATTTATAATAATATACATAAAAAAAAACGAATATAACTCTATCGTTCAGTGTATTATTTTTATTATTATAATTGTAATTATTAACGATTAATAAGAATTCAATTAAAAAAAATGATTTGATTCGGAACAAGATGGGTACACCAAGTTTGTATATTGACCATGTAATACGTATAAAAAGTCCTTATTAACGAATAATAAAAAAAAATTAACAAATTATTAACAACAATTATTACGAAGCAATTATAAACTAACAAAATTAAAAAAAAAAACACCAGCTAATGTAGCTTTTTTGGGGTATTTCGAGTTATAGCTGCTGTTTGTGCACTTAATGTGTGCTTGTTTAACTTGTGCAGACCAATACGATAGTGTTAAAGCGAATTTTAACCGTTTTCCGAAAGAAAGTTAAGAAATCGTAACGATTTAAACAATAAACTTCTAAATACTCACACTTAATTAGTTCCTTTTTTTGTTATTTTGTGTTATTAACTCTTTAAAGTCTTCAAGTGAAGACTCAAAAACTTAAAAATAGACTTTAAAGTGTTAATATTTACTAAATGTGACACCAAATAAAGCCGTAGTTATATGTAATAGTTAGAATTAGAAATACACAGGATTAAAAAAAAATGAGAAAGATATTACACATACTAATTAAAAAAAAATAATAATAAAATAAATCTGTAAATAAGCCTTTCGTGTATGTACAACCTCTGATATATATATTATACAATTAAATAGTATATTTGTACCAGTTACCTACTTTAGGCGCTATAAAATAGTCGCTTCGTCCCTTATGATTGTATAAAAAAAAATAAATTGAAAATTTTAAAATTTTTTCGGTTCATTATATGGATATTTTTATAAAGATTAGTGTTACACAACGTGGACCGTTTTTCTCGCGCGCGCTCGTCGTCTCTATATATGTAAACATTTCACTTTTCTGGTGTAATAAACGTAATGAGTTTTAGCTTTAAAACAAACAAAAAAAAACGGAACGACATACGAAATTTAAATGATAAAATGCATCACTTCGGACAAAACCTTCGAATATTAGGGCGAATTTACTGTGTATTTATTGTTAAGGGAAGAAAAAAACCATAATGCTTGCAAATGTTTGTTCTTTTCGTTCTATTTTAGTTTGTCCGGAATCGCCTGAAGAAAAATACAATCTTTATTTCATAAATGTGTTTTATTTCTTCATAGCCCCGGTTTCTACTTTCATATACATATGTCCTAAATAGTTAGTGCTTGTTTGATAACTTGGTAATGCTATGCTAGGAGATTAAGTTAAGTTCAAATTAATTCAAAAACCTCCTACTACTACTACTCCTACGACTAAGGCGAGAAAAGGGTCGAACTTAAGAATATAGATGGCGACAAGGAACGTGTGTACCGCCCTCAGAGCTGGAGCGTTGAGATACCTTGTCATGAAATTTTAAAAGTATCAAAGACTGAAAGAAGAACTAAAGATAATTCTGGGAGACATAAACTCAAACATAGGTAAAGATATCCGCAGTTTAGATTCAGGCCATGATAAAGACCTGATAAAGAAAACCTCAAGAATGAGGAAGTTTGATAGCGCTAAATTAAGAAGTGACGAAAGGGCAAGGAAAGACTTTAAGAGGAAACTACAAACGAGATTGGAAGGAAGACAACGGGAGGAAACCGGAATAGATGAAACCTGGGTTGCTCTGAGGGAGGCAATATATACAGCAGCTGAGGAAACAGTTGGATATGAGAAGAAAGACGAGAGTGTATTGATTACTTAACAATATACTGAAGCCATTAATATAAGAAATGAAGCAAATAAGGTCGAAGGATGCTGCAAAGGGAAACTAGAGTGATGTTGTAGGAGGAAAAACGCTAAAACAAGAAATACATCATCTGCTTGGCGAAGTGTGGGAGCGAATGCCTAGTAAGCGGACAGTGAGCACTTTGATTATGCAGGATGTCCAATTAGTGCGAAATCGGACGATATCTCCTTACAGGGTGTCGCTAGAAGAAAATGTTTATACACTACTCTCCAAAATTATCGCACCACATAAATTATGCATTAAGTTTAAAGGTATTTTTTTTTTGAATCAACGGATGGATTTTGATGATTCTTTCTTCACGGTATAGGTTGATTTTTAAAGAAGAAATGTGTTGCTGGTTTCTGACAATTGTCAACGTTACTTACCCATATACGGGGTGTAAAAAGAAATTTATGTTTTTTCTTCTAATTTTGCAACACCCTGTGGAATTTATCAGAAAGAACCGCTACATTTCATTTACATTACGTTAGAATGGCAACCCTTCTCTACATTTTCGTTCAAGAATCATCTCGATATCTCTTTTATCAAGGAATATACACATTTTTTAAGTTTGACTTAAGTTTGTTGAAATACAGCGTGTCCCGTATCTTCCGCATCAGAGCATTATACGGTTGTAGAATACATTATTCTGAAGCGATCTTTCTAATAAAATTTTTTCGAAATGTTTATAATAACCGCACATATTTTATTACATTTTTGAATTACCCTTAAAATTCGACATACTATTTGTTAAGCATTACCTATACCAAAATTTTACCGTTTTTGAAATATTCGACATTTTGTGAAAAAATCTCCGTCTGCACGTGTCTATAAAAGAAAGCATACCCATTTTATTTAAGACCCTACAAAGCAAATCTTTTGTAGATTATTAATGCATAGTTACAGTAACTTCATGCCCCTATACAAATCTGGTAACCTTCTACAAGGTGTTCGTAATATTGTACTGAATATCAGAAACTTGAAATAGCTATATCTCATTTTTTTTAAATGGAATGCCTCATATTTTTTTATCTTAAATTATTCGCCAAGTAATAAGGTTTCTTTTTTACAAAGCATGTCCTATACCTATTTGTAATAGTTATCAAGTTATTTATAAGACAATATTAAGCCTACTTCGCAAATCGGAATATCTCCAAAACCGTTGAAGATAGACACCTTGATACCTGTATAAAACTGAAAGGCAATTAAATTTTACATCCAGTTATGCAAAAACTGGTATATTGTTCCATTTAATAAAATTAAGTTATCCATGATTAAAAAGTTCGAAAATTACAGGTCCCTACTTAAGAACTCTGTAATATAAATGCATAATTTTCTCTTTTATTGTTAATCCAAAACAGAAAACCAAATATTTCTAGCTTTCACAGTTTCGGCAATATTACCAAATTCATAAGACGCTGCAAATGTCATTTTTTTCGAAAATCGTCATATAATTCAAAAACGATACCCGTTAGACCTAAGGTATCCTTAACAAACTACCATTCAGTTATCTATGCTACCATTGAAATTTCACAAAGAATCCAAAAATGCAATAATATACAGGATGTTCCATTTAAAATAACCATTTCTGGTAGAAGCGGAAGTCCGCCATTACTGAAACTAATTTTAAAATATTTATTTATTTACTCACACGGGGATAGCAACAGGACATAGTCCCACATAAAAGCTACTCCACTGTAATACATTTTATATACTACAATAAATTGTATGAACACAAAATTGAAAATCGATCAATTAATTAATTAATGGCCTTAAGTCTTAAGCATATGTGATCAAATCAATACAAGGCAGAACTCAAGCCGCTGCAACGAGATAATGTACTTAAAATCGGAGCACGGAGCACGGCATTACGAATAATTTGTTTGAAGTTGTGCGGCGTGACGGCGAATATGTCCAACCCAAGACGGTCCACTGCCCATGCGAAGTATTGGGGAATTTCTATACGAATTTGTCGGCGCATAGAACAGAAAGTCATAGCGCAGCCGACGAGGGGGAACATGCAGATCAATGCGTGAAAGAAGATAGGAAGAATCACAGTAACCTGTGACCAACCTGAACAGAAAACAGGCATCACTGCAAGTTCTGCGCTGCTGAAGTGTGGGCATAAGATACATTTGACAGGCAGATTGGTAATCTGTATAAGGATGCCGGAATTTATACGAGAGATACTTCAGAAACCTTATGTGAATCCTGTCTATTCTGTTAATGTATGCGTCGTACTGAGGGTTCCAAGCTGTACTGCCGAACGATAAAATACTATTATTGTCTTTAAATATTTAAAGACAATGATACTATTAACTAAAGCATTGTATAAAGAAATAATAGGTCTAGGGCAGCAAAACGATTCAGAAGAGCGCATTACAAATCCCAGCATCCTATAAGCTCTGGCCACCACTGCGTCAACGTGTTGATCAAACAGTAGTTTACTATCTAAAGTAATGCCCAGGTCTTTAATAGTGTTAACTCCGCACCGGTAATCAAATTTAAAGAACTGCTTTTTTCTCGTGAAAGTAACAGTTCGACACTTCGATATGTTAAGTGACAAATTATTAATCTCACAAAAATCATAAAATCTGTTCAAGTCATTCTGAAAGTTAATACAGTCTGAAACAGCAGCAACAGGAGAAAATATTTTAATCTCGTCGGCATACATAAGACATCTTGAGGTAAGTATGTACAATATGATTCGATTTAACTTTAATCTGAAACATTTTTTGAAAAACTCAATCATAATTCGACTATGGACCGAGGCAACTTAGGTGGGACACCTGTATTTGAGTAAAATACTATACTTTGTCTATGACTATTGAAATTGATTCCATAAATTTATTTTTTTGCTAACTTTGAAGTCCTCTAGCGGCGAAACGAAGCAACTTTGGATATAGATAACTTAACTTAAATCAACCTATTTTGAGCCAAGGAATCTGTGGTCTTCCGTTGGTACACGCATTTCGGAGACACCTGTATATATATTTTTAACATTTATATTTGAGCTAATACATGCATAAATAACTACATTTGTTACTCGAAATACTCCAAGACAGCAAAGCGAAAGGAAGTTACTCTGGTGAACCATTTCTTTATTTATTCTAAATTGTTTTTTAAATAAAAGAAGCAATTTAATTAGTTTTACTTTAAACAACAAAAATTTACCTTTTTCAGCCATTTTATGGACAACCACTTCAATGTAATTGTTTATTTTCGAAAATTCACATTCTTCTTTAACAATAAAGTTGATTGAATATTGTTGATTGCAAATTTTATAACAAAATAGAAACAAATTTCATTTTTGTATATGTCATTTATGCACACAGTAGTACCACTACATTTATAAATAAAAAAATAAATAACTAGATTTTAATGAACGCTGCCTAAATATAACCTTAAAATTTTGACAAATACCTTTCAAAACAATCCCAACAATCCTAAATCTTTATCAAATCAAGTTAATTAACAAAAATATAATAAAAAATTTCATCTTCCGACGATTCCTCTTCCCATACAACAATGAGACGACGCGTTGGAATAGGAGCAATCCAAAAGGAACGTCTTCAACAAGAAAAATACAAAGATAAAGGTAATGAGATCCAAGAAAATCAATTTGAACAAATGAGTAAACAACTAGAGGCATTTCGGGTTAATTTAGAAGATTTCGCTTCGAAACACAAGAATGAAATTCGGAAAAATCCCGAGTTTCGTCGTCAATTTCAGGAAATGTGTGCCTCGATCGGAGTTGACCCTTTAGCTTCTGGTAAAGGTTTTTGGTCCGTACTTGGAATTGGCGACTTTTACTACGAATTAGCTGTTCAAATTGTTGAAGTATGTTTATCAACTAACCATAAAAACGGAGGATTAATAAGTTTGGATGAATTAAGAACGAGGTTGATTAATGCGCGGGGTCAAAGTAAACATCATCAAGAAATTTCTAAGGATGATCTTTTAGCTGCAGCTAAAAAATTAAAAATTTTGGGTAGGGGTTTTAGTGTATTATCAATGGGTAAAGGACAATTTATGGTGCAATCAATCGCCGGAGAATTAAGTTTGGATCATACAACTTTGTTACAATGTGCTGATCAAAATTCAGGGTGGGTTAGTGTTAGTGTCTTGAAGGGAAAATTAAGTTGGAGTCAAGAAAGGGCGGAGAAAAGTTTAGAATTTATGTTAAAAGAAGGTTTAGCTTGGGTTGACCTTCAAAGTGTTGAAGAAAAACTTTATTATTTTCCTAGTTTATTTGTTGGGTGTGTTAATGATAATAATTAAATGATTATTAACTGTTTATGCAATGTTATAAAGTATTATTTTATTTTTAATTAATAAAAAAATAACAAATAATAACTGAAAAGAAAATAGAGATTATGTTACAACTTGCTATTAGCTCATCAACTTGCTAACTTAATTTTTTTGGTTAATAAACTTTATTTGATGAAGTGAGTATAATGAAAACAAGAATAAGTATGGATTAGAAGAGTTTCAGTTGGAAATTTAAAAAAAATAATTTAGTAATTCTTCAAAAATGGAGTTCTAAGGAATGATCACTCAATCTAGCAGACAACCATCTAATATTAAGCACGCCTCAATATGATTAAGACTAGCTAATCAATTCTAAGTGCAGTAGTCTCTCCATTTAAGCAGTATTTTTATACGCGCATTCATTTTATCATGGTTAAAGATTTAACACGAATAATTTAGCTTAACCCTTGAATAGACGCGTATGGGACTGGCAGTCCCATGCCTTATCATTTCTGTAATTACGTAAAAACTATTACAGCTACGGCTCTGTGGATTTTTGAGATCTCAAAATGATGTTTTAGGAACCCTTTACATGAGTTTCAAATGAAGGCTCAGTTTTATTACTTTGTAAACACTCAAACAATGCCGCGTACATGATTTGGGACTGAAAATCCCAATGCGTGTATTTACGTCTCCTTTTTTCAGTGTACGTTGATCTGGTAGTTCACGCACATATTCGGTAGTTTTATTGTTTAGATATCTCCTTTTTATTTACGTGTTAGTAAACTGTTTAGTTGTGTATTTCTAATAAGTATCAATTTTATATAAAAATAAGAATAAAAATATATTGATCTGTTTTTGTGTTGCATTCATGCACGTATCCGATGGGAATCCCATGAATGGTGAAATATTTGTTTTATTTGTTGAGAACTGCAAATTACATTACAATTTAGGCGAAAACGTCACTATTGATGAAATGCTTCCAGCATTTCGTGGTCGTTGTGGTTTCCGGCAATATATACCGTCAAAGCCAACAAAATATGGTACAAAAATCTTTTGTCTTGCTGACACAAAGCTTTTTTATACTGTCAACATGGAGATCTATTGCGGCCAACAACCTGACGGACCTTACAAAAATAGTAATTCTGCGGAAGATATTGTCATGCAAATTTCAGAGCCAATTTATGGAAGCGGAAGAAACATTACCGCAGGCAATTGGTTTACAAGTTTGAAACTTGTAAAAGCTTTGGAAAAGAAGAAAATATCATACGTTGGAACTGTCCGAAAAAACAAGAGAGAATTACCACCAAGTTTTGCTTTGCCAAAACGTATGACAGCATTTTCGGTTACACAAGAAACGAAACCCTTGTCTCCTACGTGCCCAAGAAGGGTAAGACTGTTGTATTGCTATCCACCTTGCATACGTCAAGCAATGAAGTGGCAACTAACAGACAACGGAAACCGGAAATTATCGAATACTATAATAGTACAAAATCTGGAGTGGATGTAGTGGACAAATTGTGCGCTACATACAACGTTGGTAGAGCAACAAGGCGATGGCCGATGGTCATCTTTTATCATTTATTGAATGTAGCAGCGATAAATGTTAGAATTATTTTTTTGGGCAATGGCAACGAATATATTTCAAGACGAGACTATCTAAAAAAATTATCTCTCAGTTTAGTTTTAGAACAATTGACGAGGAGATCGCTTATTCAGTCATTGCCAAATGAACTGAAAACCATGCTAGCAAAGCATAAACCAGCAATACCAGACGACAACAATCAACTTGGAACAAGTCGAAGATCTGTCAAAAGGAAACGATGCGAAGCTTGTTACATAGAATCGAAGAAGGACGCCAGAACAACCTTTACATGCGAAAAGTGTAATAGCTATATATGTTTGAAAAAACACGTTAAATCAATTTGTCAAAATTGTCTTGAAGGTAGTAGTGAAAAAGACGTGGATAATAAAATAAAGATATACAACAAATGTGTTCGTACCCATGTGTTTTACAAATTATTAAATGTTAACTTTGATTCAAGCTAGATATTAGTTGCCTTTTTATACCCTAATATTTTCAGGTTTAAAATACTTTAATAAACCAACTTGCTGTAAAACAATTTAATTTATAATTCAAAGTATGTATAATATAAAAATTGAGCTGTTTTCTGCTATAGTCCCAGCGCGTGTATTGACGTTACGTATAGAGGCGCGTCTACCCAATGGTTAAAGCTAAGTTTCCACATGCATGGATTACTGGCGCCAGTACGAAGGGAGTTAAGTGACGCCAAAAGTTGTTTCCACATAAATGTTATAATTGTGTACTGGCACAGTCATCAAAATGGAGTCAAGTGATGTACAGGATGTCTAAATTTCGATGGGTTTGCAGGGTATCTCAGTTATTATGAAAGATAGAAAGTTGCGGCTTTCGCGAACCTGAGAATCCAATGGTACACGTAGAATTTTTCTAATCATCACCGTTTTTGAGTTATAAAAAGTTAAGTATTTTAGAAGTTGAGTATTCACTATTTGAGTTGTGTTTATAACTCAAAAACCGTGATGATTAGAAAAATTCTACGTGTACCATTGGATTTCACGTGAAAAAATCTATTAGAACCCGTTTTTACTTTTTTACTAAGTTTCCGGATAGCCGAGATACAGGATGTGTCTGAAAATCGTAAATTTTGAAACACTCCCTGTATATCAAACACGAAGAGGGCTATGAAAATTTGGTTTGGGCCATTGCAAGTTTCACAAAAAAGTAGCTCAGGTTCGCGAAAGCCGCAACTTTCTATCTTTCATCATAACTGAGATACCCTGCAAATCCATCGAAATTTGGACACCTGTACTTCGCGCTGGCATCAATATGGTGCTCCAAATGTGCTCCTTGGAACTGCACATGTTATTAACAAAAAAAAAGCGAAAACATAGTTGCTGGGTTAGATCGTGGATTGCACGTGGAAATAACCTGGGTGCATCTAGTACTTTAATTAGAGAATTATGCCATGAAGATCAGCAAGCATTTTTTTATCATTTAAGAATGACTAAAGAGAGTTTCATGTTTTTATTGAGGCAAGTATCCTCTAAAATACAAAAACAACATACGCATATGAGCCACGTATGCCTATCACAGTAGCAGTCCACTGAAGGTGAAAAGTAATAATCGGGGCACACCCTGGGGGAAGGAATCTCTTAGCTCCGAAAGACAAGAGGTCCAGAGGCTCCTTAACCGGGCCAAGACATTAGGTGAATGGGAGAAATATAAACAGGCATTAATGAATTACACCAAAAACATACGTAAGACAAAAAGAGGGTCTTAGAGGAGGTTCTGTGAGGGAGTGAAAGACACACCCAGCAGTGCAAGAATTCACAAGATTCTCGCTAGAGATCCGGCAGTATCCCTGGGCTCACTTAAGCCGCCTGACGGTAGTTTTAGGTACTCTAGCAGAGCCTCGTTAGAACTTCTCATGCAGACTCACTTCCCAAGAAGCTTGATGATGAGGGCTGATAATGCCACAGCGGGCTGTTCCTGCAAGCCAAAGCGTCCCTCAAATACGGATTGGAGTGTGACTAGAAAAGTCGTCACTTGCACATCCGTGGACCAGGCGATTCAAACGTTTAAGCCGTTCAAATCGCCTGGAGAAGACAATATCTTTCCTGCTTTACTACAGCAAGGAAGGTCATTGTTGTTGCCAATTTTGGTAAAAATTTTCAGAGCGAGTGTCGCCTGGAAAAATGTACCGGCAGAATGGACTAAGGTAAGAGTATCTTATATACCCAAAGCGGGCCGTTCGGTCCCTACTCCTAATACCTTACACAACTTAGTTGGTAGAGTATCCAGGACGCTGCAGGATAAAGAAATCTTGGTTTGTGCGTTTCTGGATATAGAGGGAGCGTTCAACAACGCAATACCACAATCTTTTGAAAGAGCTGCTCTTGACAGGGGAGTGGAAGCAACTATAGCGGGTTGGATCCGCAATATGATTGATAGTAGAATAGTTTTTAATTTACTCCACGGTGATACGATACGCTTCAGGCCGGGAGGTGGCTGCCCGCAAGGAGGGGTGTTATCTCCCCTGCTTTGGTCCCTCCTGGTTGATGATCTGATTGCGATAGTCGAAGCCGTTGGTGTAGAAATACAAGCTTATGCTGATGACATTGTCGTTATGGTCAAAGGAACCTGTTTGTCGAGGATATCCAAAGTCCTCCAGGTGACCCTAGATACCATTTGCGCTTGGTGTAAGGGAAAGAACCTCTCAATAAACCCGCAAAAAAACAATTATTGTGCCCTTCACCAGGAAACGAAAGTTGGATGGACTAATCCGCCCAACTATCCAAGGTGAAGAAATTCCTTTCTCAAAGGAAGTCAAATATCTAGGAGTAATCCTGGACAAAACCCTGTTATGGAATGGACATTTGCAGGGAGTTTTGCACAAAGCTAGACTATCCTTGTGGACTGGTCGTAGCCTTTGTCGAAAAAATTAGGATCCTACTCCTGAAAGACTGTACTGGTTCTATGTGACTGTGGTTAGACCTATGATCACATACGGAGCAGCAGCCTGGTATAGGCAAGACCGACAGACTTCAGTTATATTGGCAATCTCTGGTGCGAGAAGCACAACGCCAACTTTCATTTGCATATAGAGAAGGTGGCTAGAACTACCATTTACAGATTTAAGTAATATGCTCAAAACTGTTCCAACGTGTCCTATCAATGGGCTGCGGAAGACATTTCATACATTAACAGGAAGGATTATCATAGTCTACTATTACAAGCAGTAGTAAATGACAAAAAAAAATTTATTGATGAATTTTGTGGTGAGTCGGGCTCTATGCGTGATGCGAGGTTTTTAAAAAAATCGGAAATTTATACAAAAATAACTGAAAATCCCAATGAAATAGGGGAATCCTTTTTATCAGGAGATAGTGCATATATATGCACTATTGATTGCCAATAAATTGAGACATCTCTTTCTCAGAGTTTCTTTGATGTAGGTCCCAGGTCACTCTGGTGTTGCTGGCAATGAAGCGGCAGATGAGCTAGCACGAGAGGGCAGCGCTAAAGCGTTTGTGAGGTCAAACTATGAGCTGAAGAGAAAATTCGTCTACTATAGACCAGTAGTCACTGTCAAACCAGGGAATATTTTAGGACTAACTAATGCTCATAGCAGCATTAAAGGTCTAATGGGTGTCTTTACTGGGCACTGCCGATTAAAGACACATCCCAACTTGTTGGGACTAGCCATCGATGCTGAATACCGACTATGTGGGGAGAACAAGGAGCCGTTTGAGCATGTTTTATGCCGCTACCCTGCTGTTAATCGCATCAGATTCTGGTTGATGAACTGATTGCGATAGTCGAAGCCGTTGGTGTAGAAATACAAGCGTATGCTGATGACATTGTCGTTATGGTCGAAGGAACCTGTTTGTCGAGGATATCCAAAGGCCTCCAGGTGACCCTAGATACCATTTGCGCTTGTTGTAAGGGAGAGAATCTCTCGATAAACCGGCAAAAGACAATCGTTGTGCCCTTCACCAGGGGACGAAAGTTCGGTGGACTAATCCAAGGTGAAGAAATTCCTTTCTGAAAGGAAGTCAAATATCTAGGAGTAATCCTAGACAAAACTCTGTCATGGAATGGACATTTGCAGGGAGTTTTACACAAAGCTAGACTATCCTTGTGGACTTGTGGACTACTGGCTCTATGTGACTGTGGTTAGACCTATGATCACATACGGAGCAGCAGTCTGGTATAGGAAAGTCCGACAGACTTCAGTTATCAGTAAACTTTCACGAATTCAACGAGTAGCTGGATTGGTAATTTCTGGTGCGATAAGCACAACGCCAACTCTAGCAATGGAAGTCCTGCTTGGCCTATCACCTGTGCATTTGCATATAGAGAACAACCATTTACAGATTTAAGCAATATGTTCAAAACTGTTCCGACATGTTCTACCAATGGGCTGCAGAAGACATTATAAGCACTGATACTGTGCTATTAATGCCTTCAGATTTGTCGGGATCACTATCAGTGATTAATGCTCGATACCAGCTTGCCAACCTGCTCTGGTTCAGGCAGATATTAGCATGTTCACAGATGGATCAAAAACGCCGGAAGGGGTCGGAGTAGGAGTATACTGCCAGACACCTTGAATTAAGCAAGTTTACAGCTTAGGTACGTACTGTACTGTATCCCAGGCGAAAGTATTTGCTATTGACATGAGTGCTAAAATCCTTCTTGAGAGAGGTGTGAGGAACATGACAGTACGAATTTTCTCAGACAGTCAAGCCGCTCTCCAGGCGCTGCAAGCCGTGAAAACGGTGTCGGCTCTAGTTAATGATTGTAAGAGAACATTAAACACACTGAGTTGTGATAACAGAGATTCTTTGATCTGGCTCCCGGGTCACACTGGGGTTGCTGACAATGAAGAGGCTGATGAGCTAGCACGAGAGGGCAGCGCTAAAGCGTTTGTGGGGCCGTAACCAGCAGTTGGTGTATCATTTGCAATGGCCAAATATAGAATTGGACTGTGGGCTGAAGAGAGACTTCGCCTACTGTGGACCAGTTCTCCTGGAATGAGACATGCTAAGGTGTTTATTAACATCGCCACTGTCAAACNATAACAGAGTTTCTCTGATCTGGGTTCCCGGGTCACTCTGGGGTTGCTGGCAATGACCGGCATATTAGTAACATCCGAAGTTCGACCTTTCCACTCTACACACTGCATTTTATTGTTAAGATAACTACGAATCATTTGATTTGGTAGACCTCTTATACCATGATGTTTCTTAAGTTTATTCAACAGAATTTCATGTTGGACGCAATCAAAAGCCTTTGACAAGTCACAAAATAATAAGTGAACATCCTCCTTTTCGTCAAACGCACGTGCCACAACATCAACCAAGCTAGTTAGAGCTGAAGTGGTCTTGTAGACTTTTGTCCCCGGTAACCGTGCTGAGCTTCATTAAATAATTTGTTATTTTCCATATACTCAATAAATCTGCTTTTTAATAGAGATTCGAAGATTTTTGATTTTATAGAAATAGGTTTATAGTTTTTATAATCATCTGGACTATCCGATTTGAAAACGGGGACCACTTTAAGTTCATCAGGAAATATGCCGTTTGTAAAGCAATAATTCACCATGTTGGTAATGGGTATAGCTAACACGTCAATAACATTCTTAACAAGGTAGGTTGAGACATTGTATAAGTCACGGGTTTTCTTATTTGGTAGGGAAAAGACCGTTTGGAGAATCTCGTGTTCAGTAGTAGGCTTTAAGAAGAAGGAGAACTGTCGACTTCCGTTCAACATTCTGGAGACAAGTACACTGGGATTTAGAGTGGGACCAGGGATAGTTTCGACTGTATGTACTGCAACGGTGGAGAAATAACTATTGAAATTCTGAGCATCCAAACTGGAAAAGTAATTACTGTTGTTTTCTTTCTTTCCTTTTAGATTTTTGTTTATCAACTGCCATATAGCCTTTTGTTTATTGGTCGCATTATTGATGACTTCGACAACATGTTTTTGTTTTTCAGGCATGACCGCCGAACTATATTCTCTTCTAGTATTATTGTAAAGATCATTCACTTGAGCGTTCTTCGTTACTCTATTGATAGTACATAACACATTCAAACGTTTCTTAATTTCTTCAAGAAAGTAGTATCCCAATGCTATTTTATTACTGTTTTCTCGGGAAAAGCCGAAATAAAATATTTCATAAAGTGGTCATGAAAAAACGAATATTGCCGGTGTGGAAGCAGCAATGCCATTTCACACCAATGTACGCCCTCCAAAAGTTGTCGGAATTTGTAAATATTAGCTGCATTAATTTTTCTTCTAGTAATATATTGTTTTTTCTTAGTTTCAAATACATCCAGCAGAGTGAATAGTTGGGCCAAATGGTCTGATAGATGCGGTTATAATACAGATTGTTTCTGTATTATAATCCATTATGAGAGAGTTAATAAAAAATTGATCAATATATCTACTTGTTGATTCCGTAATTCTAGTAGGTTCTGTAAAAACATAACTTAAATCAAACGAAAGCATATCTGTATACAGGTGTATCTGAATGACGTGCCCAAACTTCAGGGGGTGATTCTTTAGGCAATTTTAAGGGTACTTTAATATACAGGGTGTATCTGAATGACGTGCTCAAACTTCAGGGGGTGATTCTTTAGGCAATTTTAAAGGTACTTTCTCATATAAACTATGAGCGATTTCGACTTCCCTGCGGAGTTACGCCCCTTCAAAAATGGCGAAAAATGTTGGTTTAATTTCTTTTTCTCGAAAACCATAAATACCAGGAAAATGAAATTTGGGAAATTAGTATGAAAAAAAATAAGGATGAAAATATTCTAAAACTCTTTTTGTCTCTCTGATGTTCTTCGAAAATTTAATAGCTTCTGAAAAAAAAAATTAATTAAGCAAACTTTAACTATTAAACTGCAGGGTTGTTAATCGAAAATTGGAATGAATTTTTAATGAAAAAAATCTTAGTTAAGCTAAACTTATTCCCCATATTTCATTTATGAGAGTACCCTTAAAATTGCCTAAAGAATCATCCCTGAAGTTTGGGCACGTCATTCAGATACACCTGTATATTGCATGTTTTCCAGAATTGTCAGAAATAAAATCGACATTCCAATCCCCAGATTCAAATCAAGTCCAAATTTATGAATGTGGGGGTATAAAAAATTAATGTTAATGAAGTGTGAATTAAGTTTATCGTATTTTAATGCACTTTTAATCAAAAAAGAAACAACAAATAAAAAACATTTATTTACAAAATAGAAATATCATCTAAATTCTTTTTACTCTCACTTCCTCTATTAATTTCCTGTCTTCCTTTTTCCTGTAAATTAATTAATTCACCAACTTGAGTCTTACTATGTTCTCTTGACACGCTGGCGATTTTTTTAACATCAACACATAAATCGACAAGACGTTCTTTGTATATTTCCACTTGTTGTTCGGAAGCAGACAATTTCCACGATAACTCTTTATTTCTCTCTTTTAAATCCTTCGCTTCACTTTTAACTTGATTTAATCTAGTTTCAAGTTTTATTATGATATCTTTAATCTCATTCTTCCATTTCAAATTAAAATCAATTTGAACTTGAAGTTGATTTTGTAAATCACGATTAATCGCTAAATTTGTATCTTCTATTTCACGAATTTTATTGGTCCAAATTTTTTCTTTTTTTCTAATAATTAAAATTTATTAATACTCATTTTAAAGTCTCTTAAGATATTACTTATAAAAAAAAGAAAAAAGTAATTAAAATAAACGTACATGTCGTTTAAAACAAATTGTTTTTTAAGCTCATCTTCCAATCCTTCCATTTTACGATTAGTATCGATAACTTTATTAGCAATTTCCGTTATACTTTTATTACTAAAATCCAATTCATTTTGCAAAGTTGTTACTTTTGTCTCTAAAAGTTTCTTTTCGGTTTCCTTTGTTAAAACTTCACGTTCGTATAAGCAAGATATCTGAGTGAGATCGCTTTTAACCGATTTATTTTCTGATTCCAATTGGATGTTTCGCGTTTCACTCAATAACTACAAATTAAAATGAATTATTTAAAAATTACTTTTCATTTTATTTCAATGAAACCAATTTTTGAAAAGTAGTCTCCAAATTTTTCTCTAAAATCAACAATTTATTCGATACTTCAACATCGCTTGTAGAAACTTTGGCTAATTTTTCTTCCATCATTTTCATTGTTCGTAAATGAAAATCATTTTCTGAAGTTTTAGCTTTTAATTCAGCCTGAGCCGAAGTTAATTCGCATTTTAAACTGTCTATTTTCTCATTGTATATTTCGTTATTCGTTTTAATATCTTTTTGATATTCTAAATACATGTTTTCTAATTCTTTTGAATGAAGTTGAGACATTTGACCCATTTCCTCTTAATAACAATTAATTATAATCGTGATGTGAAAGAAAATAATAAAGAATCCTACCTTTTAATTGTTGTTCTCTTAATAAAGCAGCATCTTTTTCATTTAAAGCCGCTTCGACAACATGAACAGCTTCGTTTACTTTCATTTTTGATTGAGTTTCTTTGATTTTTAGATCATTTATAATTTGTGCGTTAGAAAAAATTTGTTTCTCCATTTCAGACTTTTTTTCTTTCATAACATTAAATTCCGACTTAGTTTTCATTAATTTTCCTTCAAGGTTTTTAATACTATTCAAAGACGATTGATAAAGCACGTTTAATTCATTAATTTCAAGATCCTTTTTATTTAAAGTTGTCCTCGAAACGTGTTGAACGTCAGCTATAGCTAACTCAGATCGTAAAACTTCCATTTCAAGTTGTTTTGCATTTTTTTCATATTTAATTATAATCTGAAATTGTGTTATAAAAATAATAAGAATATAAGTTAATTTTTTTTACCTTTTTAACTTCTTCTTTTGGCACAAAACCGTGTGTTCTTCCTTCGTAAAGTCTTAATTCCTCTTCTAAATGATCAATTGTTGATAAAGAAGTCTTCCAAAGTTCCATTGTTGAGTCTTTTTCAGCAGATAACATATTTATTTGATTTTTTAAATTTTCTATTAATTCCTCCTGGGAAGTTTTTTTATTAGAAATGTTGTAAATAGCTTCGTCGGTTTTTTGTAATAAATTCTTTGTATAAGACGATAATTGTTTATTTTCCTTTAATAACATAACAACATCATTTTTTAAAATGTCTTGTTCTTTCTAGAAAAATTATAAATCATTAAACATATATTAAGGAATAATTACAGTTTAGGTTGATAACACCGAATTTCCCAAAATAACAACAAAATGTATTCCAATAATATAAAGACTGTTAATTAATTACCATACCTGTTGTCGTCATTGCAAGTATGCAACCAAATACGCAAATCACGTATTGCAATACCAATACTGTGATACTGGTTGCATACTTGATGACGTCGGGTACGATAATTAATTAACACCGTGTATGTATCAATAGTATTATTAGAGTTAATGTATGTTTAAAACACTGAAATTTAGAAATTCTTTTCGTCATCCTAAGCCGAAAATAGAAAAAAGCAGAAAGACAGCAATCTTATTCAGCGGGAACAACACCCTCCACTTCCGCTCTAGGCACCAACCGAGCTCCCCCAAAGATCTGACTCGTCATGAGGAATATCGTAACAATGCTAGTAATGCAAAGATAGTGATGCTCGTAGAAAGGGCCAGTTAATACCATATCAGTATAAGGTTGGTACCAAACAACGTAGCGCCTCGGTAGCAAGCGACCTCGGTTCACTGAAGTAGGGTATATTGATTTTAAAAGTAAGTAATGTAAAATTTTATATTTAAATCAAGTGTGATCATCGCGTAATTACACTGTGCTGCAATATTTTTGTACAGTTGATGAGTTAACTGTATTTAGTTAATTTTGGGTTACTGATTTCAAATATGCCTTTCATTTTTCTGTAACACGTCAAGTTTTTTTTTATTCAGGTGTCTCACTGCTGCTGGACACAAGATTTTTATTTGAAAAATACAATAAAATTTTAAAATTTTCTTAAAAATAGCGATGTTAGTAACAATTTCCGGTGTATCCGGAAGTGGTACAAACATGACACTACCACTAAAAGGTAGATCTCTTTACCTTATATTAAGGTGCCAAACATCAAATTCATTGCATCTATAATTTCCCTATAAAATCCTAAGTCGTTACAATAAAATGGAAGGCATATATGAAATCAGCAACTCAAAATTAACTAAAAACACTCAACTGATCTACTGTACACAAAAAAAAGTTAAAGTTTGCAGCACAGCGTTATTTATACATTATGATTATTTACACTGTTGGAAATAATTCACGAGCACACCCCTACGTAATCTGAACGCGTGAAGATAAATCCATATTTACGGAGCATAAAGGTTTACTGTAGACGAGTTTATTCAGCGAGTTGCGAGTTTTTCTGTCGCGGCATTGTTGACTATACAGGGGATTGCACTAACACCCGAGCATCACCGCATACGTCACGAGTGGGTCGACGCTAGACGTTGGTGGGTTGCCCAGTGCAGGGACATTTTGTTTTCCGACGAATCAAGATTTGAATTGAGCACCGGTGACGTGTGAATTTTGGTTCGGTGGCGAAGTGGTGAGCGTCTACCCAAGCAGTGCGTGCAAGAATGCCCTATTCACCGCCAACCGAACATTATGGTATGGGGTACGATTACACATGGTGGGCGTACACGTCTGATGCGTATACAGGGTATACAGCAGACAATAACGGGTCAACGATACATAGACGAGGTGCTTCCCTACGTTCGGCGATGCCCACGTCTGCTATACATGCACGACAACGCCCGACCGCACATCGCGCGTTTTGTACAGACCTTTGTGGAAGAGCACCGTATATGAATACTTCCATGGCCAGCTCGATCTCCGGATCTGAATCCGATCGAACATGTTTGGGACATGAATGATCGGGGACTTCCATGTTATCCGGCTCCCCCGGTTAACGTTGAGGAGCTATGGAGCCGAGTTGAGACAGCATGGTTGGCCATTCCTCCCGCTACAATACAGCGACTTATCGACTCTATGCCACGTCGTGTAGCGAAGGTACGCGCTGCTCACGGGGAATACTCTCGCTATTGATGTATCCCCTCCCAGCAGAGTTGCACCGTTCTCCATGTGAGGATAAGTTACACTACTCTAGTACTACTTCCATACCAAATTTTATTACGCTAGACACGCGTTCAGATTATACAGGATGTGCTCGTGAATTATTTCCAACAGTGCATTATACTTCGACTATTTTACTACAAAACAAACGTGTGGTAGGCGTAAACAAACGTTGAGTAGAGAAGCGGCCATTTCAAATTTAGTTGTAACATTGGGGCACATAAGTCTTCTTACGGTCTCCTGCGCCCTAAAGGTGGTTTCAAATGTTCTGCACCACAGTGGACGAGGGCTGGATTCAATGTCAGAATTGATGGGAATGGGCAAGGGTGATGGAGGACGATGAATATATAAAATAAATATTTGTTTTTTAACTGTAAAGTCCTTAAGTTATGTGATTTCTTCAAACACTATTACCAGTTTTTTGTGAAAATACTGGTTAAAAATTAATTAATAACATTGACGAATTAATGACACTGGGGATGTACTGGACCAATGTGCACCAGCACACTGGGGCAAGTACAAACTATCAAAAAAACGACTATAATTATTTGTGGGTTTAACACACTGAACCATATGATATAACTGTATTATTATTATTGCTGCCGGGCTGAGGGGAGCGACTTCGTGATTTGTATGGTGCACATAATCGTCCATCTGAGCAAGCCATCCGTCGAACTGTTGATAGATTTCAAACCATATACTCTCTAAATGATGCAATAACACCAACATGTCGAAGGAATGTGCGCACTGAAGAGAATATCGCCGCTGTAAACGAAAGTGGAAGAAGATTCAAATTTATCGATTCCGTCCACTGCGTGGAAAATTTAGCGCAAAGATCTTGGTCTACACCTGTTTAAAATCCAGCTAGTGCAGGAATTAAAGCAACGAGATCATCATATTCGTCGTTCTTTCGCCGATTGGACTCTAGAGCAGTTGGAAACTGATCCGATGTTTTATCGCAAAATCGTGTTCAGCTCATTTTTGACTTAACGGGTTTGTTAATAAACAAAATTGCCGCATATGGAGTGAAACTAATGCACAACAGACCCTACAGACTCCATTACATCCAGAAAAACGCAGCGTTTGGTGTAGTTTGCACGCTGGTGGCATCATTGGATCTTATTTTTTAAAAAATGGTGCCGGACCTCGCGTTCCGGTCAATGGCGAATGTTACCGCACCATGATCAATGATTTTTTGTTTCAAAATATGGATGACATTGATCCGGGCGAGATGTGGTTACAACACGACGGCGCTACGTACAATACGGCGACCAATCAAAATTTGGCGATAAGTTAATTTCGAGAAATGGACCTGTCAATTGGCCTTCAAGTTCGTGCGATTTGGTTTATGCTGATAAACCAGCAACAATTGACGCCTTGGAGGCCAACATTGTTCGTGTTCTTCGTGACATACGGCCAGCAATACTCGAAAAAGCGATCCAAAGTTGGACGTCCAGAAAGCGCTTCGTCAAGAACAGCCGCGGTGCCCATATGCCCGAAATCATTTTTAAATGTAAGTGCCATGTATTGATCTTTCTAACAGAAAACATTTTTCGATTAAAATTTAATTTTTTGTGATATTTTTTTTAATTTAAAGTTCTATCGGGCTTAAAAAAACACCCGTTATTAAGACATGCTAACCGCTGGATTTGTGCCAGCCGTTGTTGTGCTGTCTTATGTTTTGTTTTTGGCCACCAAACCAGTGGGGCGTAGGCGACCATGGGTCTGATTATTGCTACGTAGTCCCAATGAGCCATTCGTGGTTCTTTCCTAGTATCCCAGTTCCTTCCTAGGAGCCTGCGGCAGATCTGGTTAGTCATGATGGCCCTTTTCCTCACCTTGTCTAAATGTGAGTTCCAGTTTAGTTTACTGTCTAGTATTACCCCTAGGTATGTAACTTCTGTTTTGAGGTTAATAGTTCTCCTTCAATGGAAAGTACTTTTAGTTGTAGCTTCCTTCTCCGAGTGAAAGGGACTATTTCGATTTTATTTGGATTGATGGTGAGCCCATTGCTTCTGCACCAATATAACTATATTAACCCATTGCCTGTCCATTTAAACTACTAATGTTTCATACGTAAGTGTGTATATCATATGTGATGTACAGGAGAGGAATGCATATCAACACAAAACACATTGTAACGTCCCGGTCGCAAGCGGTCTCGACTAGTTCATACATATTCTATAACATAAATTAAACAACAATTTACTAAATTTTTACCGTCTTTTTATACTTAAAGCGTCCTTCACACGATCAATATATATTGTCAATATGGCCAATAAATATTGACAAACTATAATTGCCTCAGACTATCAATATTTATTGACGATCTACTTAGTTTTGCGTTGACACTCAAAGATGTCATGTCATGTTTGCATGTGTTAATGAACCATCTCCGGCGAGTTAATAGCACTTTCGTTCATTAAAGTATATCTGTCTGAATTCATAATTATATAATCCGTAATATAATCCTACTAACGTAGGATTTTCAATATCTCTCTCAGACTGTCAATATTTATTCCCAATATATCAAATATTTTCGTTTTCATCAAACCATCCCATCAATATTTTTAATATTGACAATATGTCAATCTTTCTCCTCACACGTTCAATAATATTGTCAATACTCAGATATTGACAATATATATTGATCGTGTGTGCTTTACTTGTCGATGTTACGTCTCGTGTGCAAGCGACCTTGGTTAATTAAAGTTATGGTATTTTGCATCCACAAATTGTATGATCATGTATGATTCTACAGCCCGTATCGCGCCTTGGCCTCCCTCAGCCTCTGCCTCCATTCATCTCTGTCCCTGACCTCTCTCCTCCAACTCCTACTCCCGACAATCTCCCTAGCATCCTGGTCGACTGCTTCCTCCCATCTCAATTTCGGCCGTCCCCTCGGTCTCACTCCCTGCATTCTTCTACCGATCAGTAGTACCGGCACTCTTTCTTTTCCCATTCTGATCACGTGGCCAGCTCATCTTAGGCGCTGGAGTCTGACGAACTGTGCCAGTGGCGGGTCTTTATAAATTTCATACAACTCGCTATTGTATCTTAATCTCCATTCACCCTCCTCCCGAACTGTCCCAAATATTCTCCTCACGATCCGTCTCTCGAAGACATTCGCGCTTTCCGTCGACTTGAGTCAGCCTCCCAATACCATAGCTTACAATTGGTCTAATGATTGTTTTGTATATACACAGTTTGGTTTCTTGGTGGATATCCCTAGTTCTGAATATTCAGGTCTAAACCATAGCCAAGACTGTTCTCCTTCTGACTTTTCCTTCCTCTGTACCCCGCCCAGATAATTCTACCCCAAGGTATATAAAGTGAGGCACCGCTTCTATGTTGTCATCTATGTTTTTCCTCGTCTGTAGCAGTAACTTTGTCTTCTCCGTGTTGATCCTAAGCCCCACCGCTTCAGCACCATCCTTCAGCTTTCCATACGCCCACTCTGCCGCGCTTAATGTTCGGCTCATTATGTTTATTTCGTCCGCATGCGCCGCTAACTGCACTGATTTGTTGATTAGCAAGCCTGTCCTCTCCAGCCCCCTATCCCTTATTACATATTCCAGCACCAGGTTAAAGAGGGTGGGGGCCAGCCCATTTTCCTGCTTCAAATCCTACGATACCTGAAACACACGCTCTGGTGCCCGTAAGTGTGCTCTGAACAAGTTGTATCAACTTTGCTGTGATTTCAATGTGTTCCATGATCTTGGACAGCTGTTGTCTATTAATGGAGTCGTAAGCCTGCCTAAAGTCCATTAATATATTATACACGTCGATATCATATTCTCACGCTTTATTTAGTATCTGCTTAACGGTAAATATTTGGTCTAAGGTGGATCTTCAATTTCTAAATCCTGCTTGGTACTCGCCTATGATGTTTTCGGCAAAAGGTTGCAGTCTTTGGTTCAGGATATGTGAATACCCCATATTAGCATTACAAATTGTATAATGGTATTAACAATATTTTGGTAGAAATACCATAATTACGGTACATCTGGCTTCTGCTTTCTCCTCCCTTCTCATGTTACTATTATTTAAGAGGACCCTGTACCTTTTAAATTTTACCTTCCTTGCTTACGAACACAAAAAATATATACTTTGTACTTCTGTATATCAACATAAACTGTAAACTTCTAGAAACATAAAAAAAATTATAATTACCTTATAATAATCTAATTGTTCAGTTAAGGTTTTGATCAATAATTCATAATCTTTAATTAACGAAGGAACATCCCTTGAAAAATAAAATTAATCAAGAAAACTGATGGAATAAAAATTCTTACTTACTCCTCAAGTACCACGTCTTTGGGTATTTTTTTAGAATGTTTTTCGTCGCCTTTCTTTAACTCATTGTCCATCTTAAACTACAAATTTTACCAACAATTTTGAATTTAAAATGTGACACTTTACCGCCACTTTTAACACGAATGACACACAAAAAACGTTAAGTTTAATCATCCAACATCAAAATCGTTACAATTCTTATTAAAAATTATTAATAAGAAAATTATTTTACACGACTGTTAATATACTCATAACGTAAAAATCTGCACATCAGACCCGTACGAACACAAAGCAGGTGTGTTTTTAGATTAAAAAATCAATATGTTCAAGAGAAACATTTCGAATGGTGCTTTAAAACCACGTTAAACGGAGGAAAATTTTTTGTGAAATCTATTTAAATGGAGTAAGTTTAAAAGATTTTCGTTAATAAAAATAAAAAAGGTGTGTTTTAGGGATTCCGTTTACTTGGATATTAAAGATAATCAATGGCCCATTATCTATAGGGACGAATATAATGTTAAATTTTGGGGTTTAGAAAAATTACATCCGTTTGATTCACGAAAATGGGGTAGAGTATATCAGGTAATTAATTACATCAATTTTAACCTAAAATTAAATTAATAATTCATTTTAGTACTTAAAAGAAATCGAATTAATCAACGATGAAACGGTTACAACCCCAAATGAAGTTAAAAAAGAAGAGTTATTACATGTACATTCAAAAAAATATTTAAAAACTTTACAAGTAACTAAAAGTATTTATATCAACATTACATAACCTCACTTTTTGTGTTTATTTTTAGTGCAGTTTTAAAGTAGCTTTAATAGCGGAATTAGTACCAATAATTTTTGTGCCAAATCGTTTCGTACAAAATGGTTATTTAAAACCGATGAGGTATCAAACCGGGGGCTCTATTTTGGCTGGAAAACTTGCACTCGAACGAGGTTGGGCCATAAATATAGGTGGAGGCTTCCATCATTGCAGCGCTACCAAAGGGGGTGGATTTTGCCCTTATGCTGACATCACTTTATTGATAAAATTCGTTTTTGATCACTATGAAAATAGGGTTAAAAATGTGATGATTGTGGATCTTGACGCACATCAGGTAAGTTTGAATTTTAAATGTCAAAATGTAGAAATACCAACTTAATATAATTATACATTAAAATCACTAAATTCTTAAAATTTAATTAAATCGGTTATTTCAGAAAGGGACAAAGTAACATTTTTATGTTTCTGAGAAAAACGAAAAAAAAAAATTATATATTTTCCAATTTAAAAAGTGTTCATGTCATTTTTTATTATAAATTGCATATACAGGGTAGCTGATATGTATGGAAACGGTCTTCTAAAGTAAGATAGCTAACAAAAAATGTTAATTTACAAAAGTTTTAGTGTTTTTTAAAATCTATTATAATAAAGACAAATTCAGTTTACAGGGTTAATCAAAAAGTTATGACGAAACAAAGTTACGTTTTCTTTAATGGAGCACCTGTATATTATTCCATATTTTGGTCCATCTTGAAATTCTAAACAAAATTCAGATAGCATCTAAACTCAACCCTTTTCGAGATATTGAACTTTGAGGATCACTATTATAAATTACACAAAAATATTTAACCTTTGAAAGTTTTTCATCTCCATAGCAACGCAGTGACATAACACATGTCAAAAGTCTATACTGAAATAATTTAATTAAACTAACAATTTTATTATAAATAGTGGGAATGATGAGAGACAGCAATAACAATTATTGCCAGTATCATTCTTTTAATTTAAAAAGTATAGATTCCAATTCGTTTTATATTTCTAAATTTGCCGCTAACTTCAACTTTTAAAAGTTAAAGAGTCAACTTTTAAAAGAGCCAGATAGTGGTTGAAAACCACTTTCCAAACAGTTATTCTGTAGTTGGAGCTTTTATATATAAACCCAATCCACCTGTATTCTAGTGGTTCGGTTTTTAGCTGAATAATTCCAAAATATCCTCAACAGATGGCGCCACATGCGTTCAATTTTTAGTACGAAGTTTTTGTTTAGAGAGTTCTTCTTCTTCTTCACAATGATAAGGCTTGGCAATGGGATTTGGATACTTGTCCTTATTACCTCCCAGTCACTGCGTTTAGATTGTGTATTATTATTCTAGTGCGCCGATTCTATTTACTACACTAAAAAGCAGCCAACAAAAAAGAAAACAAAAGCCCCGCGTATCAATTCTCTATGCATAAATACAAAAAAGATTGCGATATACTACATATCTAGCAACTATTGAATCAAAAAATTATCTTAACAAAATCAATATATTCAATATTTTAGTTAAATCTTGGAAGGTAACATATCTATGTTATGTAAATTAAGTTGAAAGAAATTTAGATCCATTCCTAAACCCCACTTACTAACAAAATATTTTTCCATTATTTTGTATAATATTCTAAGTACTGAAAATGAAACATTAGCTTCGAAACATGTTTGCTTGATTTGAATTAAACATTTTAGTATTTCTCAAAAAGTTTTTACTTTTACCTACATCATATTTTATTATATTAGAGAAATATGGAGAATTTCATCCCATTAATATACAGAGTGTTCCATTACGGAAAACACAACTTGGTTTCATCATAACTTTTTGACTGACCCTATATACTTAATTTATCTTTATTGTCATAGATTTGTAACTAAACTTTTGTATCTTAACATTTTTTGGTAGCTATCTTACTTTAGGAGATAACCGACCGTTTCCACACATAACCACCAATACATGTTATTATAAGCTGTTATAAGTACAAAGGAAAAGTACCCCCAGTAGAAGTAGCGCTACAAATTATTTTTACTCCAAGTAATAAGTAACAAGTATTTTTAAAAAGTATTTGGAGTAATAAGTAATTTTACTTGAAACTAAAATTTCAAGTACCCAGTATTTAGTAGTAATTACAACCCTTGAATGTACCTATATCTTGTATTTTAAATCTTACCTTTTAAATAATTTTCCTGTACTGAGTAATCACACCAGGTAAAACACTGTTATTTACCTGCACCCAGCACTGTGAGCTGCATTAACTTGAAATAACCGACTCGCATCAACTCTGCGTCGGCCAGTCGCCAATACCTTACAAGATTAAACATGTTTCTCCGCTTGCAACTATCAAAACTTATTGAACCATCAAAAATACAAACTGCGAATTATTTTGCATAATTTAAGTTTTGAAGTAGTAAAGAGATAGGATGGGAATTAGGAATGAATTGAACACTATGTTGTGAATGGTTAATGATAAAGTATAAACTATCATTGTTAAGTATATAACTAATATACGTATGATGATAAATGTTAGGTATAAGAAAACTTTAAAAAAATGTTATTTTATTTACTATTGAAAGTACTGGAAGTAGATAAATTACTTGGAGTAAACAAATAGTTCTTCAAGTACTTCTTATGTCAACCAAGTAACAAGTATCCAGTACATTTTAAGCTAAATACTGAAAGTACAAGTATTAAGTACATACAATTTGAAAGTACTGGCAGTAAACTACTTAAAGTAAAAAAGTACTGAATACTTTACTTGCAGCACATTTTTCTTGCAAGTAGGTCAACTCTGATTATAACAGAATTTAATTTTTTTTTTGCAATTTTTATAAAGAAAACAACAAAATTAAAAAACTGCACTTAGTACGTTTCTGCAATTAACTGTATGTTGTTTACTGATTTCGTTTGTTCTTGTATTCTCACATGAGCATGGAAAACGATATTCAAGAAGAATATTATTTTTAAAGCAATATGGATATTTACGAGAATAGGGTAGGGGGCTCTAAGAGTACGCACTTAATTTTTAAATCGGAATAAACAAGAAGGCTTCAGGAAAAAACACGTTTTTTTAACACAAAATATATTCGTTAAAATATTACAAAACATAAAATAAATTCTCAAACATATTTAAGAACGGTTACTTTGGTTATTTAAAAAATTCTGCACACTGGGTACAGTCACAAATTTTCATTGTTGAACTGTACGTTTCACGGCATTTATCTTGCTTCTTGTTCTTTAACTTCTTCGATTCTTTAGTCTCCTTACTTGAAAAAACTCGACGCCTCTACTTTGTTTTTGTACGGTGTTGAAGACAATATCTCATATTTTTTCTCTTCCTGACTTGGGCCTCATCAATTTTTGGAAAAGGTATGATCATTTTTGGACTTATCATTTTGCTGGTACCGGGATGGGACTTGAAGTTCTGTTTGAAAACCGATAGATACAAGTGAGAAGTATTGGATTAATCGAGTAACCGGTCAGTTGAAAATTAATAAAACAACCTTTTTTGAAATAGCTTATATATTGCGGTTAATATCGGTTTATAACCTTCTTCAGAGCATTTCGTTAGTGTTTTTTTCAAGTCAACCAAGATGTACATCTTGGAAAGGTTGTGATGTACATCTTGGTTGACTTCAAAAAACACTTGTCGCTTGTATCTATCGGTCGAAAATAATTCTGGCCAATTGATTCACAATATGGGGTTCTACGAAGAAACTACAAGAAGCTACGATGTCCAGACTACCATGGACTTGAAAGGTGGTTTGAAGACGCACAAAGGTAAGATATCCTCCGCATCATCAGAAGAATTCCACTCAGACATTCTTGGAGAAGCTGGAGCAAGAATGTCTACAGTTTGCTCAGTATTTTCCTTAAGTAACACATCCGTTACTTCTGCCGGGGCAAAATCCTCGTCTGTAAAAATGTCGGGGTTGTAAGAATAAAGTATTGTTGAGGCAAATGTTTTTTCGCAGATGTCAATGGTGGCAAGACGAGAGTAGGAGTTATGGAACAGTTGAGAGATTTGTTTTAACGTGATAACTTTTCCCGGATTTGTCAGCAGACACTTGTCACATTCTGATGAGAATGCAATTTTGAGTGGCCTGAAGAATGATTTATCCAAAGGTTGTAACTTATGACTGGCGTGTTAATAATATAATGTGGTGTTCTCTTGCAAACAGAATTGCAGTGCGATATGTGATTGTCTAATACCAAAATTACAGGAACCACTCCATAAAAAGTTCTGTGTTCATATAACCTGAGTCTGCTACTAATTTTAAAGTTCCAATGCCAAACGCAGTCATGCAGCACACCGCCGTAACTGTTTGTCCTCTTTCAGCAGACACCACATTTGACACACCTTTTTCCTCTTGGTGCAAAAATTCTCGGTATTTTATTGGGAACACTAAGTAGACATTCCAGTCTCATCCATATTAAAAATTCGATGAGGACCGATTTTTGTTTTTGTATAGCAGTTGCGCACGTTCTCAAAAAAGCGGTCAAACTGCACCCTGTTAAATCCAACGGCCCTTGCTAAATTGCATTTTTCTGGATATCTTAAGGATCGATTATTCCTAGTTGCGAAATTTCTTGTCCAGTTTCTTCAGCAGTCTTTTTCTCTTATGGAAACAATGGGAGCTATTGTTTCGGCGTACTGGTATGCTAGTAGCATAACATCTTTCATAGTTAGGCCGTAAAATCGTTTTTCCAGTTCTTCTTCCATCGCACGTGTGAAGACAGGTACAAATCTTCCGAGAGTTACAAGAACTGTACCTAACTTTAAACGTTTTCTTAACGAACATTCGTTTACTCCTATAGAGGTTGCTACTGATCTCTTGCTTGCTTGAGGTTATGGCAACCCGAATACATTATGTTTATACAAGGTTCAACGCCTTATGAAACGCCTATTCTGAACTAACACACGATATTTTAAATGTAACACTTGCCACTGTATGAGTGCTTACTCCGCATCCCTAAAAAGTTACCGAAAATTGAACTAAATTTGTTTTAATTACCGTCTACTTTCGTGCTTACGTTAATGGCCACAACTGACATACCCACATTTGCTACCAACTGTGGCTAACCTAGGGAGTATAAAAGCTCGGACGTACAATATTGCCAACTTAGATTTTTAACAACTGCTTACTCTTAGAGCCCCCTACCCTACATTTAAATTTTTTTTATTAGATAATGAAAATATTGACAAAAACAAACTTATTTTTTATTCTGTTGCATTTTCCCGGTCTCACTTTAGATGGCCATTTTAATATATGTTGATAAAAATTCAAGTATGGGTCTTCAATATAAGAAAGCATTTTCCTAAGATGTTCCAGTTTGGAAATCAAAATTGGAACTTTATTAGCATAAGCAGTAGTTGTGGGCATTTTTGTCAAAGTTCTAGATCTTTTTGGCATGTGTAGGTGAAATGTGTGGCATGTAACATGTTAACCCATTTATACAATCTGAAGCAGCAACATATCACGGAGTTTTATGTTCATGAAGAAAATAATTAAAGTGGGATATTGTAAATGGTTTTTTGTTATCTCAAACTACTCCGGGTTTCATGTTTTCAAGAGAATTTGCAGTTTTTTTGTAATACTTAGGTCACTAGTTTTTGAAATCGAGAATGTCTTTGGAAGAAATTTCATTATCATAAATTTCTGGTTATCACTTGAAGCAATAATTTCTGTGTAAGTATAGAGAGTGGCTTCTTATGGAGAAAACTGTTCTATTTTCTGAAATCTGTTGATCTCAATCAAAGCCATACACATACGTAGCAGTGTGTCGTTCTTGTTTTGCCCCGGGCAGTTGTCACTGTACAGGCGTAATTCTTTGATACTGTCAGGTATTTCCTTTTGAATATAGTTCTATAAAAATGAAGCAACTTCATTAAGACCTTTATTAGCAATACCTTCATGATATACATATGAATACCCTTGTCCATTCTTACAGTTATACTGAATACATTAACTGATAACTGAGTCAAATAGAACATTTCTTGAAAATTTCTGGCAAGTGGACGTTTTACATGAAAAAAAGTCAAAAGTTAACACCGCCAAATCGTCACAAGTTTTGCACTCAGCAGTAGAGTTCTTCAACGATGTGTAAAATTTTTTTACTCATTGTTTATGTATCATCAATTCAGCAATTGCTGCACGCTTGGCATATTCTCCTAAGGTTGAACTTTTTATTTTCCTATTAAGTTCACACTTGGAACATGTATCTACTTGAGGACGACCAAAATATATAATATAGATATTTAACGTAGTAACTGACAGTTTGTTGCAGAAAATGACTATCTACTTAGATACTTAGTATCTTTCTACAGCAAACGAAATACAGTGTGTTAATTAATTATCGTACCCGACGTCATCATTGCAAGTATGCAACCAATATCACAGATTTGCGTATAAAGATATATTCAGTGTGATATTGGTTGCATACTTACAATGATGACGTCGGGTACGATAATTAATTAACACACTGTATTCTCTCTCCACAATAAATGTTAGACTTATGAATCATACTTCCTTTCTACACCCAACGATAGGTCTACAACAAGATCGAGACATACTGAGACATACACTTATCTCAAAAATGTTACTTAGCCCCGTTCTGAAATAAACCATTCAATTAATTAAAAATCTTGATAATCGTTTTAGGGAAATGGATACGCTAAGGATTTTATAGGAAACGATAAAGTATATATTTTAGATGTTTATAATCGAAATATTTATCCTTGCGACAAAAAAGCTAAAAAAGGCATTGCTCGGATTGTTGAATTGNATGAAAATAGGGTTAAAAATGTGATGATTGTGGATCTTGACGCACATCAGGTAAGTTTGAATTTTAAATGTCAAAATGTAGAAATACCAACTTAACCGGAGTCTGCTACTAATTTTAAAGTTCCTAGAGGTGCTTCAACAAACTTGGTGGTACCCAAATGCCAAACGCAGTCATGCAGCACACCGCCGTACCTGTTTGTCCTCTCTCAGCTGACACTGACACTGTACTTTTGACACAACTTTTTGGCCTCTTGGTGCAAAAATTCTTGGTATTTTATTGGGAACATTAGACATTCCAGTATCACTCATATTAAAAATTCGATAAGAACCGGCTTTTGTTTTTGTATAGCAGTTGCGCAGGTTCTCAAAAAAGCGGACTTGCTAAACTGCATTTTTCTGGATATCTTAAGGATAGATTATTCCTAGTTGCGAACTTTCTAGTCCAGTTTTTTTCAGCAGTCTTTTTCTCTTTATTGAAACGATGGGAGATATTGTTCATTTCGGCGTACTAGTATGCTAGTAGCATAACATCTTTTATAGTTAAGCCGTAAAATCGTTTCTCCAGTTCTGGTACATGTTCAGCAAGTTCTTCTTCCATCGCACTTGGCCAGAACTGACATACCCACATTTGATACCAACTGTGGCTAACCTCGGAATTATAAAAGCTCAGGTACAATATTGCCAACTTAGATTTTTAGTAACTACGTACTTAGAGCCCCATACACTACATTTAAAAATTTTTTATTAGAAAATGAAAATATTGACAAAAACAAACTTATTTTTTATTCTGTTGCATTTTTTACCGGTGTCGCTTTAAATGGCCATTTTAATATATCTTGATAAAAATTGAAGTATGGTTCTTCAATATAAGGAAGCATTTTCCTAAGATGTTCCAATTTGAAAATCAAAATTGGAACTTTATCAGCATAAGCATTAGTTGTGGGTATAGTTCCATAAAAATTAAGCAACTTCATTAAGGCGTTTATTAGCGATACCTTCATCATATATATAAAAATACCTTTGCCCATTCTTACAGTTATGAATACTGAATAGATTAATTGATAACTGAGTCAAATAGAACATTTCTTGAATAGATATTTCCGGCAAGTGGGCGTTTTGCATGAAATTGAAAGTTAACACCGCCAAATCGTCACGAGTTTTACACTCAGCAGTAGAGTTCTTCAACGATGTGAAAAATTTATTTGCTCATTGTTTATGTATCATCAATTCAGCAACTGCTGCACGCTTGGCATGTTCTCCTAAGGTTGAACTTTTTATTTTTATATTAAGTTCTTCACACTTGGAGCATGTTACTACTTGAGGACGACCAAAATGTAGATGATTGTAGTGGTCATGAAGATATTTAACATACTAACTGTAGCGGATACGAGTATTTTTATGTTTTTTTACGGAAAGATTATACATAATTTTCGGTACGTTTCCGGTAGTAACTGACAGTTTGTTGCAGAAAATGACTATCTACTTAGATACTTAGTACCTTTCTGCAATAAACGAAACATTCTCTCTCCACAATAAATGTTAGAGACTTACATACTGAATCATACTTCCTTTCTACACCCAACGATAGGTCTACAACAAAATAGTACGAACATACACGTATCTCAAAATTGTCAAAAATGTTACTTAGCCCCTTTCTGAACGATTCAATTAATTAAAAATCTTGATAATCGTTTTTTAGGGAAATGGATACGCTAAGGATTTTATAGGAAACGATAAAGTATATATTTTAGATGTTTATAATCGAAATATTTACCCTTGCGACAAAAAAGCTAAAAAAGGCATTGCTCGGATTGTTGAATTGGATAATTATACTTCCGATTCAGAATATTTATATTTAATAAAACAGTAAATTTTCAAAAAATTATTGGATTCAAAAAAATAATAATATCCTTATTTTAGAAACCTAAAACAAGCTTTAGATGAGTTTAGACCTGATCTAATGGTTTATAACGCCGGAACGGATGTTTTAGAAGGTGATTCGTTGGGTCGATTAGCAATAACACCTGATGGTATTATACAAAGAGATGAATTAGTTTTTCAAATGGCTCGTGATGCTTGCATTCCTATAGTTATGTTAACCAGTGGAGGTTATTTACAAGAAACGGCTATCGTTATCGCTCATTCCATTGAAAATTTGCATAGAAATCGACTCATAGTGGGACCTGATAAGAAGTAGAAGTTTTTTTCAAACAATTTTGAAATATATAATATTTTACTTTTTTAGACGTTTTAAATTAAAATGTAATTTGTGCCAAAGAAAATCTCAAATAAATTTAAAGAAAACTAATCATTAATTTTATTTTAGCTTAATCACTTTGTCTAATTAGTTTATATTTATACATGGAGGTAGCGATAGGACAAGTTCAATTAAGAGCTAATCATAACTATAGTACATATGTAATTTAACAAAAGGTACTACGTACAAAAACAAAACTAAACCTATCTGGGTACAAAACAGAGTATGGTGCTTCGAATAACACGTCTAAAATTGTTTGGCGTGAGGGCAAGTATGTCCAACTTAAAACGGTCTACTGCTCTTTCAATCCCCACGATTGGAGAATTCTTATAAGAACTACTTCGAGCTGTTGGTGCGTAAAATAAGAAATATCGTAACCGACGAGGAGAACATGCAAGTCAATCCTTGAGAGAAGATATGGGGAGTCGCAGTAACCTTTGACCAATCTGAACAGGAAGCGAAAATCACTACAACATCTACACTGTTGAAGCGTGGGCTTCACGTCTGTATAAGGATGACGAAATCGATAGTAAAGGTGTTTCAGAAATCTAATCTGAACTCTCTCTCATTACATATCGGGCTTGCACCACGACCCTATGGATCTATTGTATCTCGATAGATAACCTTATCAAATTTCACCGTGCAGTCCAATGCTCTTAACGAACATTAAGACCTTGCTTGGTGAAAAGTCATTCAGATCTTTTGGGGAGATAAACTGCGATCGAAAAATCGAGTATCTGATACGATTAACAGCAGGGCAGCGGCATAAAACATCACATTTATGTTCGAAAATTTCCTGGAGAAAGAGGGCCTTGTCCTAAAACTTTATATCGAATAGTTATAAAATTTCTGAAATGTGGTAACGTGGAGGAAAAAAAACGAACACGTGCAAGATTCGTAACCGAATGAACAGAATCAAATAGCTGTTTGAGCTGTTTGTCAAAAGATTCAGGCATTTCGCTAACGAGTGTACAACGGATTTTGAAACTTAATAAGTTTCATCCGTATCATGTCTCTCTACACCAACAATTACATGGCGATGATTTCGAAAATCGTGTGCAATTTTGTACTTGGGCTATGGAAAAATTAAGATTNATCTTGATAATCGTTTTTTAGGGAAATGGATACGCTAAGGATTTTATAGGAAACGATAAAGTATATATTTTAGATGTTTATAATCGAAATATTTACCCTTGCGACAAAAAAGCTAAAAAAGGCATTGCTCGGATTGTTGAATTGGATAATTATACTTCCGATTCAGAATATTTATATTTAATAAAACAGTAAATTTTCAAAAAACTATTGAAATCAAAAAAATAATAATATCCTTATTTTAGAAACCTAAAACAAGCTTTAGATGAGTTTAGACCTGATCTAATGGTTTATAACGCCGGAACGGATGTTTTAGAAGGTGATTCGTTGGGTCGATTAGCAATAACACCTGATGGTATTATACAAAGAGATGAATTAGTTTTTCAAATGGCTCGTGATGCTTGCATTCCTATAGTTATGTTAACCAGTGGAGGTTATTTACAAGAAACGGCTATCGTTATCGCTCATTCCATTGAAAATTTGCATAGAAATCGACTCATAGTGGGACCTGATAAGAAGTAGAAGTTTTTTTCAAACAATTTTGAAATATATAATATTTTACTTTTTTAGACGTTTTAAATTAAAATGTAATTTGTGCCAAAGAAAATCTCAAATAAATTTAAAGAAAACTAATCATTAATTTTATTTTAGCTTAATCACTTTGTCTAATTAGTTTATATTTATACATGGAGGTAGCGATAGGACAAGTTCAATTAAGAGCTAATCATAACTATAGTACATATGTAATTTAACAAAAGGTACTACGTACAAAAACAAAACTAAACCTATCTGGGTACAAAACAGAGTATGGTGCTTCGAATAACACGTCTAAAATTGTTTGGCGTGAGGGCAAGTATGTCCAACTTAAAACGGTCTACTCCTCTTTCAATCCCCACGATTGGAGAATTCTTATAAGAACTAGTTCGAGCTGTTGGTGCGTAAAATAAGAAATATCGTAACCGACGAGGAGAACTTGCAAGTCAATCCTTGAGAGAAGATATGGGGAGTCGCAGTAACCATTGACCAACCTGAACAGGAAACGAACATCACTACAACATCTACACTGTTGAAGCGTGGCCTTCACGTCTGTATAAGGATGACGAAATCGATAGTAAAGGTGTTTCAGAAACCTAATCTGAACTCTCTCTCATTACATATCGGGCTTGCACCGCGACCCTATGGATCTATTGTATCTCGATAGATAACGTTATCAAATTTCACCGTGCAGTTCAATGCTCTTAACGAACATTAAGACCTTGCTCGGTGAAAAGTCATTCAGATCTTTTGGGGAGATAAACTGCGATCGAAAAATCGAGAATCTGATACGATTAACAGCAGGGCAGCGGCATAAAACATCACATTTATGTTCGAAAATTTCCTGGAGAAAGAGCGCCTTGTCCTAAAACTTTATATCGAATAGTTACAAAATTTCTGGACTATGGTAACGTGGAGGAAAAAAAAAACGAGCACGTGCAAGATCGGTTACGAATGAACAGAATAAATAGCTGTTTTAGCAGCTGTAGATGTTAATCCTCATGTAAGTTGCCGTCAATTGTCAAAAGATTCAGGCATTTCGCTAACGAGTGTACAACGGATTTTGAAACTTAATAAGTTTCATCCATATCATGTCTCTCTACACCAACAATTACATGGCGATGATTTCGAAAATCGTGTGCAATTTTGTACTTGGGCTATGAAAAAATTAAGATTGAATGAAAATTTTTTCTTCAATGTACTACTTGCCGACGAATCCTCTTTCACCAATCACGGCCAAGTAAATCGTCATAACATGTACTACTGGTCACATGAAAATCCTTGTTAGCTAAGAGAAGTTGATCATCAAAAACCTTGGTCAATTAATGTCTGGTGCGGCATTATTCGCAATAAAATAATTAGACCTTTTTTTATTGATGGCAATTTGAATGGCAGAAAGAATCGGAATTTTTTGTTGAACGATTTAACGGTTTTGTTGGAAGACCTTACTCTGGAGCGAGGACTTGCGCTATGGTATCAGTATAAATGATGTCCATCTCATTATGCTTTAGCCGCAAGAGAAGTTTTAGACGAAACGTTTCCTGAAAAATGGATAGGACGTAATGGACCGGTGAATTGGCCACCTACATCACTCCACTTAACTTCTCCCGATTTCTTTCTTTGGGGTTACCTCAAAGAGAAAGTTTACAACCAGGTACCAACAACACCAAACGATATGAAAAACCGTATCAGAGCAGCTTGCGAATCAATAACTGAAGAAATGCTTGGCAATGTGCAGAGAACGTTTTCAATGAGAATTCAGAAATGTTTAGAAGTGAATGTCATCATTTTGAGCGTTTAATCGATGTATAAAGGTAACTTTATAAATTTTAATCAATGTTCTAAATTCTAAAGTGATTTCAAAAATGAAGAAGAATTTTAGTACTATTTTACGATTAATTAAATCGTTTTTTATTAATTAATTTTTTTATTACATTTTGAAATATGTTGTTTTATTTTTCTTATTGTAGATATCTTCATAATGCAGAATTAAAGAAAAAAAATTTTTAAGCTAAAAATACTTAGTTTGTTAAGTTGTTCAAGACGTTGAAAGAAAAAAGGATATGTGCGATTTGAAAAAATTAAAATGACGTCAGAAGGGCTTTTAGGCAACCCTGAAAAAAAATCTGCTCATGTGTACCCTGTGCCCCCTTTTCACCAAAAAAAGTTTACTTGAAACTTTTTTCGATTAGAGTTTTGGTTTTCGAGATATTTGTGGTACGAAATGTTCACAGCAAATCCCTGCTCACTTGAATCGACCAGATGAGGCTAACGATTTCTTTATTGATTCAGTCCCTTCTTTGAACCTTGCAACGCGTTTCAGTTTTAATGACTTACCGCCTTTAAATTTGATTCAAACTAATTTTAAGTTTGTCTTTGTATCCGAAGCTGATGTAATAAAAGCTATTTCCTCAATTTCTTCTAGAGCTGCCGGTGCTGATAATATCAGTATGAGTATGTTGAATATGTGTCTTCCATTTATATTACCCTACTTGACACATTTACTCAATGTTTGCATTGAAACTTCGGATGTACCTGACTGTTGGAAGTTGTCAATTGTGGTTCCTATCCCAAAAAAACGTGACCCATCTGAGCCTAAAGATCTGCGGCCGATTAGCATATTGCCAATTTTATCTAAAGTTCTGGAAAGAATTATGTTTAATCAGTTGCATCAATTTGTTCAAATTAATAATATTTTACCGAAGCATCAATCTGGTTTTCGTAGAAACCATAGCTGCGGTACTGCTCTTCTCAAGGTAACTAATGATATTTTACAGGCTCGAGATAAAGGATTATGTACGTTGGTAGTCTTGTTGGATTTTAGTAGAGCTTTTGATAGTGTTTGTCATGACTTGCTTGTGGAATTGTTAAAGTATATTGGCTTCAGTGAATCCGCTTTAAACTTAATTGAAAATTATTTAAGTAATAGGCATCAGTCGGTTAGAATCGGTGATGCTTTGTCTGAATTTCGCTGTTTGAGCAAGGGTGTACCACAAGGTACTATTTTAGGGCCTATTCTATTTTCTTTATATACATCTCAAATCGTTAGGGGGTTAAATCATTGTGAGTACCATATGTATGCGGATGACTTGCAGATGTATGTTTCCTTTGATCCACGCGACTTCGCGTTGGGTATTACGAATATGCAAAAAGACCTTGATTACATTCATAAAGTGGCTCGGGAATACGGTCTACATCTTAATCCGAGTAAATCCAATGCTATACTTTTTGGAAATTCCGCTATATGTAATGGTTTTCGGGAAAGTATTGATTTGCAAATTGATGGTTGTAACATTCCTTTGGTTAGTGAGGTAAAGAATTTGGGTATGATTATGGACAACAGTTTTCGCTATAAGAAGCATGTCTCCAACTGTATATCCAGGGCTTATTATCATCTGAGGATGTTGTTTCCTCATCGACACTACCTTGGTATTCATCTGAAAAAGGTGTTGTGCGAAGCCTCTGTTTTGGCTCAATTCACTTATTGTGCTGAGGTCTACCATCCGTGCATTGACGTTAGCGATGTAACACGTATTCAACGAGTACAAAATTCGTGTCTTCGGTATATATATGGAATTAGAAAATATAACAGAATATCTTATAAACTGAAGGATGCGGGATGGCTAAATATGTATCATCGTAGGAAAGTGCAGTGTTTGTGAATATACCATAAAATTATAAACTGCAAGGAACCACAGTATCTCTACCAACTGATAACTTTCCGAAATGATGTCCGCCGAATAAATACGCGATTTCGCGGAAGACTGTCGCCACCCTTCTATCCTTCTATCGCTGAAGACACTGCAGCTAAAAAAATCCTAAAATCCTAAATCCTAATAAAATCCTAAGCGACCTTACTCAGATTGAATCTTGCTGCTACACAGGCCCTTCCACCATGCAACTGGATTCATTTTTACTACACTGGTCCAGAAGAATCTTTTTGCCCACAATTCATCATTTGATTTATAATTTGCCAAATCTGCCACTACATCCAAGTGCATTAACTGGGATAGGTTGTGTATAAATTCCATGGCGTCTATTTCCTCCGACGCCACGGTGACAAACTGCTTCGTTTAGAACAAGGATTCAGAAATGCAGCGGCAAGATCAATCGGACTTGTAGCAAATTCCTTGTGATTAAATCTTTGGTGTTAGGTATTATGGGCTTAAGTCAAAAATTTTACTTTTCCACAAAATGAGTTTGAAAGTTCTATAATTATTCGTAAATCGCATTATTGTTTTATAGAAGTAACAACAGCACCAATTCATTACCGAAATGGTAGTTGATAGCTAGGTTACAACATTTAAGAAAAAAAATGAATATTTACCTGAATTTGGTTGACTTAAGTCTTCAAGACCCTCTGATTAATAATTACCTGTATTTATTTTGTTTGACGTAAGGACTTAAGTCAAGCAGAAAAACGGCGCTGAGTGATTACATTTTTATTCAATAACAAAATGTTGGAATAATCAAAATAAAGTATATACACGAAACAAAAAGAATAACGACGCCAGCGTCCTTAAGACCAATCCTTAAATGTCTTCTTCTTCTACTTGTTCTATCAAATCGGGATCATTATCAATGGCAGTCTCAGAAGTTGGTAAATTTTTATAGAATTCGTGGAATACAGGTGGTACAAATCGTAATAATGCACACAAATCGTTTTTCTTATCAACCGAAATTGGAAGTGAACTTCTGTATCTTTGCTGGAGTGGATAATTCTTCAAGTTGTGGAGTTTTCCCCTTCTTAGGAAACTTAGCACATTAAAATCCTCAGTGTCGCTTAAATAGTTTTTGTAGTGTACGACACCTGTTTCTTTATATTGAAGCCATTGTACAACCGGCCACAAGAATGGTTCACCAGATACATTTTTTTCGGCATACCAATACAGTCTTTAGTAAATGAGCAAAGTCAAAAAATTCGTTCTTTTCCATCTCATGAACCTTGAACTGGTTCTTTCTCCCTGTTCCCCTGACCAACTGGAACCAATCGTGTGGGTGGAAAATAGGTGTTTCAATTTTTTTTTTCTGTTTCTCTATCATGGAGTGATCGATGTCACATTCCATGTGAGTATGGCCTGGTACTAGGAACTTGTGATTGATTATAAGATAGGGAAATTCACTTTGCACTTTTAAGAACATGGCAGCAACATGACTATTTTTGTTCTGCCCTCCACATGTGTCTGAGTACAATGTGACTTCAGTTACGGAATCAGGTAATTTTTTAAATAGCTATATAAGCAGGAAGCAATTTGTTTGCCTCCCCTGGCAGCTAAAGCCTCGTGCCACATGTAATGCGTTGATTCGCCAGTCATGAACGGTCAAATTATATGTCCACAATTGCCTTTTGTAAAACGCTACCGAGGAACCAATAAACGGTGTTGGCAAACATTGATGGAGATCAAAACTATAGCATTTTTTTGCAGAATTGACTTTAGCTTCTTCTTTGTCTGCTTTTTTTGCCTCGTATGCTGCATTCGCTTGTTCTTGGTGTAACTGTAGATCTCGTTGTACATGGAGCTTCTCTTCCACATTGTTCGAGTTAGTAGCAACCTGTACTTGCATATGAAAGGTGTCGCATTTAGAACAAGTATCCACGTGCGGTTTTTTAAATGAGAGTTTCAACTTATGAAATTCTCTCTCATATATTGTCCTACCAACAGGATTGTTTCTTTCTTCCTTATATAAATCGTACATAATTCGCAAGTTTAAATGAGATGGAAGGTACTTTTTGTCATTCGTGCGTCTGGTATAATGACTTTCATATGAAGGAAACGATTTAATGTGTGCTACTACTGCATTTATTTCTTCCTCCGTTTTTTTGTTTGCGGAAGATGTTTTGCCTCTTCCATCATTTGTAGTAATACCAGAAGTATTCTTCGTTTTATTTCTGATAGCCATTCTAATAAATTTCTCTTTTTCATCCAAAGTCCTGCAAAAACAGTTCTTGCATACAGAAAACCTCTTGCCATTTCTTGCCACTATAACGTTTGAAAAATACGTTGTACTTTAGAAGAGTAATAATTACCTGAACGTCCTAGAGCTAATTGCACTATACAATGAACACTAAATTAATAATAGACTGAATTGCCAAAGCATGTTTGATATGAAAGACCTAAGTCAATTTAAGTCTTTAGGAACGTCTGCATAGTTTTAAATTGGTTGCTCAAAAGGGCTTATGTCAACTTACGATTATAATACCGTACAAGATAAGACGCGTTCTGATTTATAGCCTATAGACCGGTTTAAAATAGTAGCAGCAGTTGGTGTTAGACTTAAGCCCACAATACCAATCGAAAGGGAAAAACAAACTGACTTAACTCTGTTACTATATTGAAAAGTGCCATTTTGTGACTTAAGCCTTTTATACCTGACACTAGAGAAATGTCTTTTGAGTTATTACATCTTCTTCCTCAGATATGCAAAAATTTGAAATGTTCAGAGAGTGCATTGTGCATTTTGTATATCATCGGGGTGTTTGATTCTTGGGTAGTTATTAGTGAAACGATAGGATCCAGAATGTTACAGATTTGTTCCAACGACGTTGCCTTTTCGTGCACAACTAAAGTTTGAAGACTGACTTTGTTGGATATTAAGAATTCCATACAGTAGAGATGGCTTCCCCAGCGCGTTTTATATTCTAGTTTCAAACTAACTTTACAGTCCTTCGTTTCGCTTATTTCCACAAGTAGAAAAGATAAAATTTGAGATTGTTTTATTGCGTTAACTATGTGTGTAGCGTCTGTTACTAACTTCTGTATAAGTGGAAAATTTAAGATATCGTTGCACAGAAGATGAAGAGTAGGTATGAGCCATGCAACCCAGTGGTACGATATGAGTATAGTCGTCTTGTAGATGCCTGAATGATTTTTTCATATTAGCAGCATTGTATCCGATTACCACAAGGAACTTTTCGACGTCAAATTTATCAACAATCTTCTTTATTTCACCCTTAAGATATTCTGCTGTGTGTTAGCATATCCGCATATTCTGTATCCAAAAAAGTTGTGGATAATTTCTTTCTAGTTGGCAAATAAAAAATGTTTTAGTATCAATTTTAAATCAACGTTCACCAGTTATTTTCTAATCTTCCCTAAAAATATCGATCAAACTTTTCTATTGTATGTAGTTGTCGTTATGGAAATATACAAAATAAATTTTTTTGACTTGTTTTGGTACACATTTTTTGAAAACTTAAATGGCACCTAATCAAGATGATAAAGGCGCTCCTGTTCAAACTCCCAATGCCGATTTATCAATAATAATTCCAAACGATGATTTAACCTCAACGTCATCATCAAGCGTAAATGTACCAGAAGAACATTCGATATACGAAATTGTTGAATTACCCCAACCGCCAACACTAAAAGAACTCATTGTAAGTTTGTTATAACAAATACTAAATTATAATAATTTTGTGATTTTTAGCAAAAATATTGTGATTGTAAAGATGTAAGCAACATCACTAAAGTAAAATTAATGGTTATAGCTGTTGATGTTGGTCTTCAACATTTACATCATCACGTTCCAATGTTAACGGAATTAATTTTGGATGGAAGCGTGTTGGTTTCTTTAAGGGATTTGGGTTGTGCGTTGAAAAATTTAAAAATTTTGAGGGTGAATCGCTGTGGTTTGACTGCTTTGGATGGAACTTATGGGTTTGATAATTTGGAAGAGATATATGCAGCTAAAAATCAGTTGCTGGATATTTCCGAATGCTATAATTTGGTAAAATTAAAGGTTATTGATGCTAGCAAGTACACAATACAATTTAAAATAAAATCTTCTATTTTTTATAAATTAAAACAAAAATTTTAGCAATGTTTTAAAGGATATCCAAGCTTTATTCTTTTTGAGTCTTTGCGACAATTTAAAAGAATTAACTGTAACGGGGAATGAAAATATCGTATCTCACAACGATTATAGGAAGGTTATTAAAGAATTAATACCACAATTAGAAATGTTGGATGGAAAAGAATTTAGTTTTGAAGAAAAAATTAAAGCAAAAATTAACAATAATAATAATAGTACTGCTGGACCGGTTTGTAAATTGTGTAAATTTGAAATTAATTTTACGAATGTATTTTATTTTTAGAGTTTTCTGCCTCCTTTAGAAAGACCGAAATCAACTCAAAGCGAAGTTAATACTAGCAAAGAAGATTCGTTTTCAGTGAATTTTCCACCTAGAGCACTTTCAGGAAGTTCCCAAGGAATCTCTTCGGCGCGCGAATCAAATTTACCAAATTTGTCTAGCGTTAGAAGTCATAATAGGACTATAAAAGGGAAAAAAGTTCTACCAGAAATTAAGAAAAAATCTTGAAAATTCAGTTTTATTTTTGTATTTGTATATTTAAATGTATACTTTTATTTTTAAATATCATTTTGAAAATTTTTTAAATTGGCATTTTTCAGTTTATAATTAAAAATATCCTTTTAGTGAATTGTTATTAAAATAAGTCACAAAAAATGGCGATCGTAAAGCTACATGAGATTGTATCGAAAGCTAAAAATAGTGTTCAAGTTTTTAAATTGAAGGAAGTAAGTAATTGCAATGACTTAAATGGTTAAGGTTGCAATTAACTCTGTGCTGAATTTTTCAAATTTTTTCTTCTTGTTTGTTGGAGTGTGTTGTTAGCAAGATCCTGCAATATCTTGTGTTGGTGTAAGATCATTCTATGCGATGTTACCAGCTGAGTTGCAACTTCTGTTAGAAAGAATTCCTTCAATTCCATGCTGGATGCAAATTTTTCCGTAGAATTGAAGAAACAACACCAACGTTCTTTTTTTTGGCACAGAGGAGGAGAAAATGCATTTTCGTACGTCGATGGTACACGACGTACGACTAACAGTTCACTATCCAGTAAAAACTCCCTCTCTCTTCTCCGGGACAACCTTTAGGGTAGCGGGGAAATACAAGATGCTAGATGGATAACATCCAACAAGTCCATCTTTCTTACAGATTCCGACACGTTCATCCAATCTCCTCTTAAGTAGGCAGGTATTACAAGCAGGTAGATAGAACCCAGCAAGTATCGTCCCTGGTTTAGGTAGGTTTAAAATCAGATAGCAATAAAAACTTAACTTCCTTAATTCTCTTGGATCCGTAGGGGCACCCCTTTCGGCATCTTCTTGTAGCTACATATCAAACTACCTGTCAAGTGTGTCCATTTCCTTTTCTTCTGAACCAGAACTTGGGTCCCCGCACCTTTCCGCGGCTATTATACGGCCCACAATAGTTTATAATGTTATTGGTCCAACCTCGATAGCCAGTTTGTCCCCAGCCATCCTCCATCTATTACAGGTGAAGAGCGTGTTCTCTGCATCATCCACTCTGGCGTCAGCGTAAGGGTATGAAAGACAGTCCACATTTCCGATCTTCCATAGCTAGTTTCGGAAGTAGTCAAAAATTGCGTGATGTATAAGATTCGCCGTTCACCGTTCTTTTCGCATCAGTTGACCTTGCTATAGCATTGGCTTCATAGACATTTTTCCTTTCGGCAAACAGGAGATCTATGGAAGGAACCTCGGCAATCACCAACACGGCTGGTGCGTACACAGTTCAGTATGTACTGGCCGTGCGCAAAGCGCCTCTCCTCTACACCATGACGAGTCTTCTACAGTTGGCAAGTCCGATACCCCAAACTTCACAATCATACAGCATGATCGCTTTGATTTGACACCTCCATCTGTGGTTTGTTCCTGATTAAATCGTTAAAGTGATAATAGCCGAGGTCATCTTGAGGTGCTACATTGTACACCATTAGAGAGATAGTTGCTGGGGTCACTTGCAATCGAGGCACTAAATTTTACTGGCTATTAAGCGAGGTGCTACAATCTCCCTAGACACTACATTATACGTAGTCAGAGAGATATTTATAAAGACGATATACTGTACAGTCGTGTTCACGGGAAATGCGTACCGAACGTCAAGAGCTGTTGTGTGATGCGACATGTCGCTTACCTGGCCGGTACCGTCACAAGTTCCTCTCCACGAGCTTCGTGTGCGTTCGGCTCGGCTCGTTTAGCCAGCGGCATGTCGGATCTCACAACAGCTCTTGACCTTCTGTACGCATTTCCCGTGAACACGACTGTACATTGTTAAAATGCTAATAGTCGAGGGTGCATTCGGCTGAGGCGCTACATTATACACCATTGGAGAAATAGTGGCCGAAGCACTCCTCTTGCGGTCTTGAACCGTTACAATCTACACCGTTATAAAGATACTGACAATGAAAAGCTTTCCACTGTCAAAATCATAAAATTTCAAGTTTGGTGAAACATAGAGGATATTGAGATTTCATAACGGTAACGATAAAAGAAGTATAAGAACAGAGTAACCCCTTCGGGTTACACATCTTAAAGGGATTTTTTTACCAATTTTCTGCCCATTTCATAGGCTGTAATATTCCTTGTAGGTTCATATAAGAAATCTTAGTTCTAACGTTAATAGTTTCTGGGAAATATTTTTTAAATAAGTTTGTAAGCCGCAAACGATATATATTATATTTGTCATAAACTTAAGATATTCTTATGTAGCCATTACTGATATAAAAAAAAAACCTAATGGAAGGTTGGTCCAGAAGCGTTGCAAATACTATTTCAACCACCAAATATTGACATGAAAGCTTCGGCTTCAGACAAACTAACTTATGATTTGTGGAGAAACGATCGAAGAATTTTACTTCTTTCGATAAAAAAATTGTTAGTGGAATTAGTTATGGAACGAAAATCAGTAATAGAAAATCAAACTAAATAAAATATCCATAAATATGGTAAAAAAAAGCATGGGTTGAACAGTTTAATCAAAATTCGCAATATTTTAACACACATCATTGTCATTAATCACACTTATCGAGTCGATATCGGCGCTTGTTGCATGCGATAGAAATGTCAGAAACCTAAATGACCGATATCGCCATAAGCGCCTTTTACACCAAGAGTTTTTTCGACAGTTTTGGAGCGTACGTTTGGAGCGCACACAAGCGTGCATGTTGGACCGCGCTCTTGGAGCGTCCGCTCACGGCATATTTATTTATTTATTTACGTATACAGTTGGACACGGAAACGGGACGAACCCAAGGTACCGTGTCTCAAAGATAACAATAGAAAATATAAACGATCAAAACATATAGAATTTACTTATATAAAACTAATTATTGTGATCAGCTTTACACGCCGCAATTATCAAACGTTTAAACGCGCGTAGCGAGTCGCAAAAGACATCAACCCCCGCGCCACGATGTAAATGGTCGCATGTGCGCGCCATTCTCTTGACTTTTTCATATTATTTATATTTTTCGTTAATCATTTTTTTTTTGTATTATAAAAATACAGTAGTCGTAGCCCACTTTTTATAATTAGTTTTTTTTTTTAATATTTTGATTCACAACAACTTGCGCCCGGTGAAATCAGCCTTTTGATGGTAGAAATCTACTTTTCTGACATCCAATAGGCTGATTCTCATCACAAGTAAGCATTTGCCCAACTCAAGGTTTTATGGTCTCTTAATTAAAACATTGGGCAAATAATAACATGATAAATTCGTCTAATATTTAAGTCACAAAACAATAACTCTTACATCTCAACATTATAACGAGATAACGAATCGACGTTGCCACACATTTTTCCAGGCTTATAAACTACCGTAAAATCTAACGTTTGTAAAGGAAGCGCCCATCTTAATAGTCTAGCGTTTTTATTACTCATTTGTTTTAACCAAGTCAGAGGACAATGATCTGTTTCAATAATAAAATGAGTTAAATATAGATACGGTTTTAATTTATTCACTGCCCAAACTAATGCAGCACATTCTAACTCACTTGCACTGTAAGCTTGTTCTCTCTCAGTTAGCTTTTTGCTTAAGTACAGTACAGGGTATTCTTTATTGTCGTCATCACGTTGGGATAAAGTAACTCCCATTCCTCGTTTTGAACAATCAGTTTGTACTATAAATTTTCTTTTATAATCGGGAGCTTTTAACACTTTACTACTAGTTAATTCTTGTTTTAAATTATTAAATGCGTTTTCCTTCTGTTCATCCCATTCAACCTTGTTTTTGGCTCCTTTTCGTAAAGCGTCTGTTAAAGCACTAACAATTTCTGCATAATTTGGTATGTAATGGTTATAATATCCAGTTATCCCTAAAAAGATTCTAATATCTTTTTTTGTTACCGGTCGTCGAAATTCTTTTATTACAGCTACTTTTGCTTCAGATGGAGTTCTATAACCTTGTCCTATTTTATGTCCTAGATAAACAACTTGAGCTTTTCCCCACTCACATTTCTTTGCCTTTATTGTAAGATCTGCCTTATGCATAGCTGTAAACACAAGTCGCAAATGTTTCAAATGATCTTTCCATGTCCCGATCTGGATGTGGAAGAGTATATACAACCAACATCACAGTATTGGTATTACAATAGACAAATCGCATATACTGTGATATTGTTTGCATAGTTGCAATGATGACGTCAAGTATGATAATTAGGCCCCGTTCACATGACAATGATCTGACGCGCGTTTTTTAAACTGAATATATAACTGTTATAATTAACTGTATATGAGAAGTGTTCTGGGTGTGAGGTATTAGAAGTGGAGGGCTAGAGATAAGTAGGAATGGAGGGGCCTGATAAAGTAGGCCAAGGCCCGACATCAGGCTGTCGCGCCATAGAAGAAGATCATTGCAGTATTATTACAATTTACTTCTTTTCTTTTTTAAATATTCATTGATGTCAATGAAAAAGTAAAAGTAACATAAAGATTTACTTACGAAACTTATATTTATACCATAAAACTTACAAATACAAAAAAAAACATAATTTTCGTTTACATATCCTCTGTATCTGAATCAGAATCCGCCTCAATAGCTTGTTTTGCAGACTTCTCAGCTTCTGCAAACACATTATCGGGAACTCGTTCGTGTCTGCCTTGAGTTTCTTCTGAAACCCATGATAATTCCAGTTCAAAATTTTTATCCTTCAACTCATCATGCACTAAATAAATACTGAAACCAAAACAATATGATTAACAAACACAATACCCAAAGAAGATAAATTTACATCCTAGCAGCTTCTTTTACTAATTCTCGAGTTGTCATATTCCCTAACTTTAGTTTCTCAACTTCAGTTTTTGCTGATTGTTTAGCTTTTCCAATAGCACATCCATAATAACCCTTTTAATAAAAAAGAATTCATTAAAAACGCCAATTTTTTATTTTTTGTTTTGTTCTTACATATGAAACTCCTGATGGGTCAATCATATACATTTGGGGGCCATCTAATCTATCCCATGATCCCATAATCACACTACATCCATAAGGTCTTACAGCGCTGTATAATGTATATGCATGCATATACATACTCACACGTTCGTTTAAATATTTTAAAGGGACATTAACATTGTATTGAGCTCGATAATTAGAAGCCTCCTTCCGTGCGATCTCAACAATCTGCCTAGCATCAGCAATAAGCCCAGAAACGGCCATTCCAACATGCGAATCAACATTAAAAACGCGTTTGTTGGCACCCGCTTCGTAAAGTTTTGAAGTCACCAATTTTTCCACCGCGAAAACAACCCCATCCTTTCCACGGAGACCAATCGCAGTTCCGCTATTTTCCACAGCTTTAACTGCGTATTCCACTTGGAAAACGCGACCGTCCGGCGAAAATTGCGAAGCCGAAAGATCGTACTGCAAAAAAGTGAGGTTAGATATAGTGTTGTTTGGAATTAATAAGGATTTAAGAGAATTCTTTTAGACTTACTCCTGTTCCAATTGAACTCATTTTTGGGGTAAACTATAAAAGTGTTGTTTTATGCAAGTTTAAAAATGATTTGTAAGAGAATGATTTGCAATTTGGTTATGTACCGCTGTTTGACAAACGAATCTAGGAATTTTTGGTTTTAAAGGTTGGTAACAAATTTTAAATATTTCTATTTTATCAAAAAACATGGTTATATATTAAAGTGTTATTACTATTTTAATTAATTGTACCTAAAACTTTATTATTATTAATCAAATTAATGATTTTATTAAAATGTTGTGCTTTATTTTGAAAGTATTTTTTACGATTTTAATGTTGGTACTTGGTGGTAGTAAATCAAATTTAAAATGATCCACTTTATTATTAAACATTAATTATAAATAAATGAATTAAATTATAAACATTTCGGTACAATAGGCATACACATATTATAAAAAGCTTTTTTATCCCAAAATTCAACACCTTTCCACCCACAATAACCCTTATTAATAATTTTATCTAAATCTTCACCACCAACATAATGAGGATCTAAAATCAAAAACTTTACGTTTCCATTATCATGGTTGCAATCAACCCCCAAAATAGTATGTGCCAAAACACCTCCTCCTTCACAAAAATAAATACAAAATCAAATTAATTTAATTATAATTTAAAAATGAATTTTACCAATCATTACTGGGGATCCATTCGTTTTAAAATGAGTTAACAACTCTAAACCAATTGATCCCATTTCTGCTCCAGAACTGCATTGAAGGACTTTACTGGTTATTCCTAAAAGTGTTTCTAAGACAAATCCCACTTCCATTGAACCAATCCATTGTTTTGAGCCAATAAAATTTGGTGGTTTATCTCCAATATCTACTAAACACTTTTGGATGTCTCGATGGGTTGGAACTAACTTAGTAGAGTATCCTTGATGATTAAACCAGGAAGCGAGGGTTTGCAACGATCTATAAGCGCAACCCCAACCGTTATCATCCATTTTTTGTTGAGAATAATGATAATATTCGTAGTTTCCTCGAACTACAGCGATTTCACCACCTAAAAAAAAATTATTTTAAAAAGGTAATATTAAATTAATAAAAAATTTAAGGTAATAAAAGAGGGTGAAGTGGGTAAGAAATTTATTATTTGATTTTTTTTGGTTGTGGTTAAAAAAGACGGGATATTAAGGTGATGGGTAAACTAAGGTCCATTTTAAAAGAGTTTTTCTATTATCTATAAAGAAGAAAAAAATTAAACTATATTTAACGTTTAAAAAAAAACCCAAAAGCCCCTTTGAATAAAATTACCATTGTTTGTGTTTTTGACGCTTAAATGAGGACTAATTAACGGAGAATCATCTTCTTGGTCGGAATTAAAAATGTATCGATTTCCTCGTCTGAAAAATGGCATTGTTAACGGTAATAATAATTTATCTTGAATAATTTTTCGTTCTTGTTCTAAAAAAATTCGTCAATCATAATAATAATTAATCATTATTTTTGTAAATTGTACCTAATGATTCATCAGTCTCTCCTTTTCCAAAAACTCTAGTAACAAAATGTCCACATAAATTAGGATAGAAATGATAAATTTCCGGGTAGCTAATTTTGGAAAAGTCTCCTCCACTTTGTTGGAAATATTTTAAAATGGTTCTTTGTAATAAAAATAAATTTCTAAAACAACTAGCGACTAAAATTTCATACAAATTTTTTACGGGGAGTTTTTTGTGAACCATTGAAAGTGCGTCCAAGTTCAAAACCATGTTTAAAAGTTCAAATTTTTCTAAAAAAAAAAGTATATAAATACTCAAAAATACAGATATTAAAAAAGAAATAATTCAAAATTCCAAACCATGTTAATTTAATCTAATTTATTAACAAAAAATGAATTTTAATAAACTTAAAAAAGACTGGAATAATCATAATCCATACTTCAGCAAAAATTTAAGAATTATACTGGTGAAAAACCAAACTTAAGGGAATAGTCGGGAATACTCTGGTCAGAAGGTTAATTTGCAAGAAAAAGTCTAAAATTGCAATAGTTATAAATTAGACTTTAGCAAAAAACAGGAATTACATTGTTCAAAGTCTACATGAAGTCTGAAATTACTGTTCAGAGAAAACAAAAAATTGATTATAAACCAAACATGATTTTTCATGGTAATACTTATGTGTTCAATAAAAGAATGCGAAGAATATCAACAAGAAACCAATGGACTTGTCTTGTTATTGCACACGACAGGAAATCACGAATACGGAAACTTTGCCAATGCAGGATAAGCACAAAAGCAAAGTAACAGCTGCAGAAATGAGGTACCGGGTGGTAAAAGATCCGTATAGATAATAAAAAGATCTACTGCTTCTAAAAAACTAAATACTGCTTTCCGAAGACTAGATACTGCTCTGGAAGATTAAATACTGCTTTCTGAAGACTAGATACTGCCGACAGGTCTAAATATAGCATCTGGAACACTAAATACTGCTTTCTAAAGACTAAAATTGCTTTGTGGAGAGTAAATACTGCTTTCTGAAGACTAAATACTGCTGACAGGTCTAAGTACTGCAAAAGAGAGATAAGATATTGTTGGAGAAAACATACATAACGTTGGCAGAAGACTAGATACTGCTTCTAGAAGGCTAAATACTCCTTTCTGAAGACTAGATACTTCCGACAGGTCCAAATACAACGTCTGGAACACTAAATACTGCCTTCTAAAGACTAAAATTGCTTTGTGGAGACTAAATACTGCTTTCTGAAGACTAGCTACTGCTGACAGGTCTAAATACTGCAAAAGAAAGATAAGATATTGTTGGAGAAAACATTAAAAAGGGCACCCCTTGCACCCCCCGGTAGCGCCGCCTCTGGTCATTAAAACAGATAGCAACTCGTCACCAACATAAACCTTTCGGCAGCGAGCGTATTTCAATGTGACCGAACAATTCTCTCAACTCGTTGGTTCCGATTCAGTTTGCTGTATTAATTGCAACTTGAAGAGATTTCTGTAATGTACAACTCAGATTATTAGGAACTTAATGTTATTTGATGGATACCGCAGTGTATTACTAACATTTTAGTACATTTTGTTTTAAATAGTTAAATAACCACGGTAGCGCCCAACCACGGTAAGTACCCAATCTGTTGCTGCTGATATTATATTTGATAAAGGAATTGGTTGAAGTAATCCTTTAAAATATTAAGTATTGATTCGCTTTTAGTGTCGATATTCAAAGTTTTTGCGAACAGCACTTCTTCGTTCATAATAAAACTAACATATACTAATAATAATGCTTTATTGCTATGTAAGGTTGACTCATCCAGCTATATAGAGCTATATTTTATTATTTCATCAATACGCCTTTGAACTGTCTTGTTGCTTAAAGGAATTATTTTAATGATGTCAGATGCAGGTTTGTGACAGTTCTTAAAACTTCTTCAACGGCTGACAAAATCAACTGTTCTGGGATAGTATGCGTTTTTCCTGAGTTTGCTATAAGTAGCGAAATATTGTAAGGCGCTCGCAAAGAATCATCATTTCTTTCTGCCGTCGGAGTGCAAGGACGAAATCAGGGCCCAAAATCCACCTTTTGTGGGCCCGAGGCGCTCTATATTGTTGGGACCCAAAAAAAGTCTAATATTACTCTCCAGAATGTTCGACCATATAATTGTCAAGAAGACAAATGCAAAATTTTCTGTTTTTAAGAAGAGTTGAAGCTTCACTCTTACTTATGGGTTTTTCATATTCGTCATTTACAAATGTTGACAGTATATCACTAATAGTTTTGTAATTTACAAATAAAATATAAACAGAATCATGGCGTGCAGACCAACGGGTATCACTTAAACGCTTGGGAGTTGGGTTAACTTTTTGTGCTAATTTTTACCATCTATGTGTAGACGATGAAAAAAATTATAAATACCTTGCACTATATTAAAGTAATTAGCAACTTCTAAACACGACTTACATGCAAAATTGAACACTAAATTTAATGAGTGGTTAGTACAGGATACATAAATAGCGGCATAAATATTTTCCAGACATGTTGGCTGCATTGTCATAGCTCTGTCCACGACAGTTTTGAATGCTGAGGCTTAATTGTTCTAATTTACTTAAAGCTGTCTCTTGTTAACAATCCGCAGTTTAATGAATCCTACGAATCGTTCTGATATTTGTCCCTCATGTTCGTATCTTAAAATTAGACTAAGTTGATCACAATGACTTACGTCTGGTGTTGAATCGACGATAATGCCAAAGTATTTGGCTGCCTTAATTTCACCACTGAATGTACTTAACATTCTATCTCTAATTATTTCAATAAATTCATCACATATGTGATGAGACAAATAACTAACAGAACCTCTTCCCTGATTTATAAATCGACGTAAATGTTCTGCCAAAAAATCGTCGAAGTTGGCAAGGTAAACTAGGCAACTCAAATAATTGCCTTTGAAACGGCTACCTATATTTTCGCACGAACCTCTAAATGGTAATCGTTGTCTTGAAAGAAACTTTACAGTGGCTAGTATACGTTCTACGACTTTTCGCCCAAGGTTTATATATTAAAGGTTGTCTAAGTACCTATGCTGCAATACTTTGATTTAGTTTGTGGGCGAGGGGCAAGAGCAGGAGTGTTTCGTGACGTAAGCGATCACGGATTGCGCACGCAACCTCATGGC